GCTCCATAGGGGATAAGTTGGAAAAATACAAAAGGTAACTGGGACAGCACCCTGGATGATTTGCAGTGAGGAAAGGGACATCCTATATGCAGTAATACAATATGAAGCTCATTTAGATGTTCAGTTCAGAGGAGCACATGCTTGAGGCTAAAACTTGGTGCTGTTTCCATTTATTGTTTCACACTCCCTTGACTTGACTTATGAAGTAATATAAAAAAGTGTCTATATATTTTGCCTCAAGTGTTTGCTTCCTTTGGATCTTTGTGGATGATCCTGTCATTAGATCAAAGGAGCAAAACTTGCAGATTGTGAATTCTCTTGTGTTCATTCTTCCTCTTATTACATATTGACTAAATCGTCTAGAAATTGTCATAAAACTTGTGTGAAGTGTTTGGTTGAGTGGTATTTCGTGCCTTTAATTAAGACAGGCTACTCTGTTTCTTTGAGAAAAATGTCAGCACACCACTTTTGTGAGGCTTATTAATCACTTCTGCAGTTACTGACTCAGAAATGAAATGAATAAACGCCACAGGTCTAGAATTATTATTATTTTAATCCATGTTTCATGAATATGTTACTCACAATACGCTCTTTTCTATAACTTTAATTTTTGTTAATTGGCAGTTTCCTCTCCTAACACTCTGCTGGCATTACAAAGCTGCTGAAGGTCTTATTTCAACATTGCTGTCAGCTGCCCCCCCCCCCACTTTTTCATTTTTCACATACAGGTGCATTCAGAGTTCATTCATGTCCATTTGACACATTTTTAGGCCAGTGAATCAGCACAGCTCATCTCATTGAGTGATAATACTGAAGGAACAGTCTACTACAGTGCTGTGAGAAGCTTGAGCCTTTTTTTTCCAATTGGTGCACGACGACCTCGCAGTCACATGGCTGAGAATCAGAGAGAAGAGGACCTTGTTTCCTTTATACTTCTCGCCTATGTTTGCCATTCTTTCATTATCAAAGGAGCTGCAATTTCCAGTTTATATTCTGTAGAAAAATATAGTCTGCATTTTTGTTTTCGTAAAAGAGTATGACAGTTTTTTTTCTTGATTGTACATTATGTGCTTGAGGAATGTGTTACCTCTGCCATCAGAAATAAGACAGAAAGAACACCCTGACACACACAGAAAAAAAATGCTTTTACTAACTCAAGGAAGTGAAGTTGAGAAAAAAAGGTTAAAAGTTTGAAGGTTCTTATCAAAACTGAATAACAGATATTATAACAGTTTATTTTATGTTGTTTTTACTGATAATGAATCATGGTCACAGACTTAAAACATAAAACCTAAAACACGCAAAGACGCTGTACATTTGGACAATCTAAAAGGTGCAGGGAAATCTTAGTATATACAAACTAAATATGTTCTTGTTTCATCTTTAGCTTTATTTTTGTCCATTTGAACTAATGAACTAGTTCAAAAATAATAATGTTTGATTAGATATGTAGAAAATTAAAGATCTATAAAATCTAGAGTCAAAAGGCTGAAGATACTAGGCTAGTTAGCTTTAGTAGGACTAGATTATGTGGTGTTTTTGTTATTTTATGATTAGATTTAGCCTATGCCTTATTTATGTGGTAACAACTCAATTATTGAAGCATCAAAATATTTTTTATATATTTTATATATATTTTTTATAATTTTTTTAAGTTATACCTCTCTAGCTAGCCCTCACTAGCTAGAATGCAGTCACTGCATTCTGGTCTTTATCTGTGTTGTCTACTTTTGTTTGTCTTTTTGCTACACACATTTTAAGGTAAGATGTCAGAAAGTCTGAATCTGGTCTTAACTCGACTTTGACTGAATATGTAGCATAGGGCAATAACGCTAATGTGTGCAACATGTGGTTAACAGCATGGCTTATTTTTGTTGTGTTGCTTCACGCAGTTTTGTGTGACTACACCAAGTAGTGGATGTTATTGTTATATTATTGCATCAGTGTTTTGCTGCTTCTTGTTTCTTGTTGCTGTGCATGATTTGTGCTCTTGCGTCATGCTAATTTTGTTGCCATTGTTGTGTTTTGGAACATTTTGCCAAAGGACTGTGATTGAAAATGAACCTGCTGGCTAACACTGGCACAGTTACAGAAATGCTGAATAATATCCACTTCACTGAAATATATCAACTATGTGCAAGGTCCTTAACCAACATAACAAATTGTGCAATAAAATGAGAGTATGTATGAAATCTGAAATTAACTATGACATTGCACCCCGTATTTATTGTTCAGAATAGCCTACATCAATTGTCTATTTATACAGTATAAATTCCTCTCACTTAATTGGTTGGAGAAACTGTTTGTCTCAGTGTTAGTCATCTGTCTGTAACGAGGCCAACTGCTTTGCTGATGTCATTTGTTCTTCTCAGAGCCATGGTGGACATTGTGGTCAGCTGTTTTCACTGAAGCACTCACGCCCGTCCCAGACATAATTGCCGTGGAGGGAACATGTAACGACTATGCATATATAATTAGGAGATTTTCAATCCTCCCAAACAGGAGGCAGGAGAGTAGAGATATGAGAAGGAGGAGGGAAGTGGAATAAATCCCAAAAAGCTGATATAAGGACTGAGGGGTCTTTTGACAGAGTTGGCAGAGTGGCGCTCTAAATATCAGTGTTTGTGTTTGTGTGTGTGTGTGTGTGTGTGTGTGTGTGTGTGTGTGTGTGTGGGTGACTGTGTAAATGTGTGTGGCATGAGCTGTTTGCATGATAGAATGGGAGCCATCCTTCTCTGGAGGCTTATGTGCACTATATTACTGTGTTAATGCATTCAAGCCTGTCTGTGCCATGGCATCAATTTAATAGAACCAGTACATACATGTGGGAGTGTGTGTGTGTGTGTGTATGTGTGTGTGTGTGTATGTATATGTGTGTGTGTGTGTGTGTGTGTGTGTGTGTGTGTGTGTACGTGTGTGTGTGTGTGTATTCGGTGTGTGTGTGTGTGTGTGTGCTAGCGAGTGTGACAGAAAGAGAAAGAGAGAGAGAAGTGGAGAGGGGGCATGAGATAAGAAAGGGGGAGAGACATGAAGAACACTACTGAACAAAGACATCAAGCACTTTTTGAAGATAACACGCAAAAAAAGCACCAGTAAGTCTATTCAACAGCCTGTGCTGTGTGACAGTTTTCTTCTCCTTTTTTTTTGATAGACAGAGAGTTTTAGAGTGTGGACTCTGAAAAGAAAGAAGCCAAAAAAAGAGAGAGGGACAAGTCAGATAAGAAGAGACAGAGAGACAGAGATAACACCAATTTTGTCCCCTCAATAGACGCATGGGGGAAATAGCATGTTTCCCCTTGTCTATCACTGACTCAAGAACCATTAGCTTAATTATATGGAAGAACTGAGACTGAAGAATGTATGTGTGTGTGTGTGTGTGTGTGTGTGTGTGTGTGTGCATGCGTGTATGTGTGTGTGTGTGTGTGTGTGTGTGTGTATGTGTGTGTACGTGTGTGTGTGCGTGCGTGTGTGTATGTGTGTGTGTGTAGGTGTGTCTGTGTATTTGAGAGAAAGAGACAGGGAGATTCAGACACAGTGTATTAGTTATAATAATAATAATAATAATAATAATAAACATGCATAAATGGAATGATTTAATTAGATGTGTTTTTTTTCCACTCAAAGTTAACACAAAGCCTGCATTTAATAAGAGATGTTTTTTGTGTGTGAGTACATGTATCACTGACATTATGGGGACGTAACTGATCTCACATAGTCACCTTATGGGGACTCATCTCTTATTTGGGGACACGCAATGTAAACCACTGAATATTAGGGTTAAGAATTTTGGACTTTAATGCCAGGTTTTGGTGAGTTTTAGGGTGAAGGTTGGGCATGTTACACGGTTAAGGAATATTTCAACGTTCAGGTCACTAACTGAGCTTAGCATAAAGACCCCACCTTGCTACCTACAGGGGGCACAGTACTCCCTGCAGTAACACTGAAAGTTGTCATGGACATAAATTGTGCGATGTGGGTTTGTACTGGGCTGGAAAGGAAGGTACAGGCAGGAACTACTTCTTGACAAACAATAGTTTATCCATCCTCCCAGCCCCTCTTGAGGCACGATGTTACCAAACCTTGCTGTGACAGCAAAACTTTAGAAAGCTCAGGAAAAGAAATAACTCCAGCACTTAACTTCCCCTAAATGCAGGGGAAATGGCTTGTTTATGTATTTTTTTAATGGATTTTAGAAAACATTTGGCATTCAAACAGTTGGAAGAGAAGGAAAACCTTTTGTTAATTAGTCCTTGAAGCCGGGTACAAATAACCAGTTTGTAAATCCTTGTGAATTGGCTGAAGTAGCTCCATTAGTGTAAAAATTGAATTTTATTTTGGTGTATCAGGCAATCAATCAATACTTGTTCACAGGGTAAATTCATTGTTCTTACTATATCTGTGGGGACCAAAATGCTGGATCCCACGTTTAAAGGGCTGTTTGAGTGTTAAGATGTGGTTTGAGTGTCAGGGTTTGAACTGGGTTTAGGTTGGGGTTAGGATTATTGTTGAGTTGTGATGGTTAAGATTTGGGTAAGGGGCTAGTGAATGAATTATGCTACTAATGGGTCCCCACGAACATAGTAAAACAGGGATGTGTGTGTAGTGGTGGTGGTGGTGGGGGGAGATGCAGGAGGGAGTGAGGCGAAACAGTCACATGCACAACAGACTGTCAAGGAATAACTCCCTGCTGCCTCTCTCTCTCTTCCACCTCACTCCTTCTATCCTCCTCGTCCTCCTCCTCTTCCTCCTCCGGCATGCCGCTCTCCTCTCTCCCCTCTCCGCTCCCTGTTTTCATCTCAACTTGAACTATTCGTGCATTTAATTTTTAATGATACGTGTAGAGCTGGCTCAGTCCTGCTCTCCCTCTCTTCCTCTGTCTCTCTTCCTCTATCTCTTTTCCTCTCTCTCTCTCTCTCTCTCTCTCTCCATCACTCTCTCTACTCTCCCTCTCCCTCTCTCTCTCTCTCTACTCTCTGCTCCTCTCTTTGCCACCTGTTAGTCTCCCTCTCCTCTCCGCACTGGAATCCCCTCTTTTTTTATGAGGAGTTTCACACTTGCGCTATCACTGAGGTAAGTCAACATTTCATTCTTTTATTCTGAAAAACATCTAGGTTGAATCTGCTGCCAAGGCTGGGAATGTTGTCATTCATAGGTATTTTTCCCCCTTTTATTTCACTGCACAAAAGGCACTTTTATGCACTGTTTTGTACTTGTCTGTCTATTTGATTCGTGTATGTGTGTGTGTTTTCTTCGGCATGAGAGAATGAAAACTAATGCAGTAAAAACCAGGCTGGCAGACGGACACCTTTATTCTGCATCATTCTCACACAGCAGACAAGTGCAACATGTGGCAGTCTGTTTTTGTATCATTTTACCTGCTCCTTCACTTTTTTTTCACACTTTTCAACACAGAGACATATGAGTCACACACTCTCTGTCTCACACATACACACACACACACACACACACACACACACATTGAAGTTTACTCATCCTTGACAGCTTGAAAATAACTTGGCTCTAATTGACAAGTGCTCACTGTCACTGTGGTTAGCTATAAATGATGTGCTGACTATCAAGCTCTAATGAGTGGCTACACTTTGCGGCACTGTACTATACCATCTGCCTGTCAGCCAGCAGCTTGTTATTTAAAGGTGAACGGAGCCCGCTGCAGGGGCCCATTGTATGTAGGACACAAGAGAAGAAGAAGAAAACCAGCCGAAAGAGAGGGAAAGAGAGATCCTCACATACCTACAGGTGGAATAATGGTGTCTGAGAGAGATTGACGGAGAGATGGTGATAGAGAGTGGAGACGAAGAAGAATGGTGGATTAGTAAGGTGGAGATGAGAAGGTAGAGGAGGGGGCTCGAGGGAGAGAGTCCCCATGCCTGTGATATGACTCTAATGTAAAGTGAAGGAGCTAAAACAGGAGGAGGGGAGGCACAAAGATATTCCTGACTGCTGGCTTCTGGCAGCTTCATTCCTCCCTCTTGAAGCTGGAAACCTATGTAACCTCACGGATTTACGTACAAGGGCGCCATGCATAATACACTGTACTGTATATGGTTGCATAACTAACAGCCACAGGGTTGCTGTATGTAGCTGCTGTGGACAAGTTGGGCCATTATCTTGTAGCTTCTAGGAATTATGTAAAGTAGCTCAGCCATGTGCTCCAAGGCTAAGACTCATGTATGTAAACGAGCGTTAGCCACATAGAAAACCTGTGAAGTGTGAGGGTGAAATATGTACCCGATTATTTTTGAGTGTGCACTACCACACGTCTCAGCAACAAGATGATGATGAAAAGAGAAGATGAGAGAAACATTCCAGCTGGCAGCATGAGAACGATCAATCATGAGCTCCCCCGGGAGCTTCTGCTTCCCTGCGAGCTGCAAGCCACCAGGCCTGCCGGTTGTAGGCTACGTGTGCGGCTGCTACTGATGCTGCTGCTGGTGCTCAGGCGTCTCTGGCTTACGGCCACATCTGCTAGGACTGGGAGGCGACTGACTGCGCACATTATATCAACAGACACTCACCCACAAGTCTGCAACAGCTGCACAGCATGTGTGTGTAGTGAGATGAATTAATGATCTGACAGAAGTGTATCTGTATGTACGTCTGTCTACATGCTTGTGTGAATGTATTGCTATTTTTGTGTGTGCCTATTTGAGGGATTATATATTACTCATAAGCGCAATCATTCTATCTACTCATCCGCGTCAATTAATCTTTCAATCAATTCTGGTCATAATCATCATCATCACAGGGAGTTTCATTAACTTGTTCTCACCTTCTCCTCATCTTGCAATCTTCCACTTAAGATTATTTCCTTCTGTGGGCGGCTTCAGTGTTGTTTTATTGTTGTGGGAGACTGAAATAATATACTCTGGCTGTGATAAGCGCCGGTTTATCTCTCTACATTCATCCACCTCTTATTTGAAAAATCACAGACTCTCGTCCTGAAGTGCATCAGTCTGAGGTTATCTCTGCGCTACTTAATTGAACAGTGTTGAACTCTGACCAGATCTTCTTTGCTTCAGAAGTCATTAATTGTGCTATTCTGGTCCATAGTGGCACCAAAATGGCTGCAGCTGGTTTTCAAAAGGCAAGATGTCCATCATTTTCCATTCCAGAGCCAGCACTCTGTCAGAGTCCTTTCAGTCAAATGAGTCCAGGAAGTTTGCATGCTGGCACACCGCGGTGTATTTCAGAAGTTTGTTTCATCTCCAGCCAAGGAAAAGCGGGATGAGCTGTGATGTGCATCACACACTGTTGTGCTCACAGCAAAGAGACCCGACCATACATGACAAATGACCCTCACTGCTTGTTATTCTGCTGAAGGTCAACAGTCAGAGGCAACAATTTCAGAGACACTTAAGCCAGGGAACCATTGGTCATGTTGACTTCATTTTAAAGACTGAAGGGTCTGAAATTAATCTGTTTACTGGAGCACAGCGGTGCAGTGGTTTGCACTGTTGCCTTAGAAAGAAGGAAGTAAGAAGGTTCTGGGTTCAAACCTGCAGACTGACTTTGTTGGAGTTTGCATGTTCTCCTCATGCCTGCATGCATGGCTCTCCTAGTCTGGCTTCCTCCCACAATCCAAAGACAAGCAGGTTAGGTGTATTGGCGACTCTGAATTGCCTGTGAGTGGTTGTTTGTCTCTTTGTCAGCCCTGTGATAGACCTTTCCAGGGTTTACCCGGCTCAATGTCAGCTCCAGACCCCCTGTGACCCTAAGCCAGGCCACCAGTTTCCCCTCTGTTTCCACTCTTTATGCTAAGCTAAGTTAACTGGCTGCTGGCTGTAGCTTCATATTTGTGATACAGACATGAGAGTGGTGGCAATATTTTCATCTAAGAGAGTGAACAAGTGTAGGTAGAACTATTCCTTTAATATGGATGCAGGTCTGAGATGATCCATTCCTCTAATGAGTGGATGAGGGTCGTTAATAAAACACTTGCTCTGATTTTCCACTTACTTCTTTTTGTGGGGTTTACTTTCAGATCATTCAGACTAGTGAGTACTAGTCTGGTGGCTAATCCTCTTTAAAACCTTTCCAAACTTCGCAGACATTCAACCAACAGATAACACAGAGGAAGCTCAAATATTCACTTCTCTGTTTCAATTGTTAAATGCAGAAAGAGCAGAATGCAGTCCAAGCGGGGTGGGGGGGCATTGAGGACAGAACGCCCCCTCAAGGCCTGCTGTCTTTAGACAACAAAAGCTGTGAGATATTTGTAATCCACCCCCCTCTTATTTATTTTGGGAAGAGAGCAGACACATCAGCCTTGTGGTCAACTACACTCCCAGCTTCCACAACTTTATATAATCATCAGGACTCTTCTCTCCCTCCGAGTACAGTGAAGAGCGATCCACCCTGTAAAGACTTCATCCCATAATTACCTGTCTGTCTATGGAGGATTGTTAAGTACTTTAGATAACACGCATGCCTCAGCAGCTCACACGCACTGCAATTTCACTAAGGATGATTAGGATACGGGGGAGACCCCTATTGTCCATTATCCTTTATCCACCCTGATAGGCTTGAGTTTATTCAGATGTAGTCAATTGAAATGCAAATTTGTGCGCATCCTCAGCTGTATTTTGTCATCTTATGAGTAATGTCTTTCTTTCTCCAAGTCCTAATTATGTTGAAGGAGTTTTCAACATGACAGCAGTTTGAGATAAAAGATTCATATCACAAGTTCTTATTGTTGACTATATGGCAAATGAGAAACTCCCATTAGGTGTGATGATATCTCAGAGATGGCCAGATGCAGGAAAAGATCCTATTCATCACAAGTCATCTTATTAAGCTCACTTTGTGTCACTGGGTATTGCAGAAGAGAAATTGGGAACACAGCTCATATCTGTGGATCAATGTCTTCGCTCTTGCTGAGTCTGAATGCATTCCAAAGTTTCAGTTGTTGAATTGCTGAAAAGAAATGTGATTTAAATTTCACGTCTCTTTCCCTCTAGCCCTATGACTGTGCGAAAAGGAAAACGCTTAGGCATCTCCATCCAGGAGCACATGGCCATCGACGTGTGCCCGGGCCCCATCCGCCCCATCCGTCAAATCTCTGCTTACTTCCCTCGTCTCTCACCCACTTCTTCCTTCTCTGAGCCGCTCTCGCCCAATCAGGTGGCAGCTCCCACCACACTCAGCCCTGGCACTGCAGGTCAAGGGGAAGGGGCAGTTGGAGGGGGAGGCGGCAAAGGGAGCAGCGGCCTGTTGTCACCGTTATTAACAGGGGGGGCAGGTGGAGGTGGCTCACTGTCGGCCATGAGCAGCATGGACACCTCCATTGAGATCGACAGCTGTGACAGCGATGATAACAGTGAGTCACCTGAAAGTAATGACCTGGTTTCACTGAAGCTTCTTGACAATAGAAGAGAAATTATTTCAACACTGATATGAATTTGGGAGAAAAGGCCTAGCACAGAATTACTTATCATTGCGACGCCTCAAGATTTCTGTTCTAGCACAAGTTCACAGTGATAATGAAACAATGGGTCTTTAACGAAAGTAAACCAAATCAGGTTTCTCATTTCTAGCTAACGACCATTGAGATTATTGGCTCAAGTGACAACTATGGCAACTATAGCTTGCTAGCATAAACTAATGCTAACACTAAAGCTTAATTAGTTGGTTAAAAATGCCATGTCCAGCTGAATTTTAATTGTTTCCAGCTGATTTGTTTAAAATGGAGGGCCCTGTAAAAGTGGCCTTAAAGGAAAAATTTGACCTTTTGAGAACAATTTTGGAAGTTTGATATCAGTTAAAACCACAGTGTAAAAACAACAGTTGTGGTTATGCATCAAACTATTTCTTGGCCAGGCAAAGTTTTTACTTTTCCACACAGCTATGTTAGCTGTTTGCAACTGTTTCCAGTCTACTGTATGTGCTAAGCTAAACTAACTGCTGGCTGTAACTGTAAGTTTATCAGTTTCAGTCTCATTTCCCATAATGTTGAACAGTTCCTTTAAACTAACAAAGTGTTGAGGCATGGAGACAGTTGCTGCTGGTCCGTAGGTTGTGTTTCCCCCTGCCATCATTCTCCATCACTATTCCCAGCAATGAAGTCATCAGGACAAAAGCAATTAACAATGTAATTGTATGACTTCTTATTAACTGCCTTCCAGCCTCCCTGGGAACATTAGCGTTTGACCTACTGTATGAGAAAGCCACCAGCTCCTTACACTGCACAGTCCTGAGAGCAAAGGTAAGTACTCTCCACTGAAAACTCCACCAGAACCACCACAGGTAGTTTGTCTTGCACCAATAGAAAGTCAGTTCTACTGAGAATAAGTTATCGTTTAACTTTGTGTCAGTTGTGTTCATGTGTTCAACCTATGACACCAAAGATCAAAACTACAAATTCTGTTTTTAGCCATGCTAGAGGCATAGCTCCAGGGATGATAATGTCTTGGTTGGCGCACTGCTTTGGTCCAAACTGAAATATCTCAACAAATAGACGATGGCTTGCCATAAAATTGCAAAGATATTCATGGTCCCCAGTGGATGAATACTTGTGAGTTTGGTAATCCTTTGACTCTTCAAGACTTTCCTGCTGTAAAAAATAAACTTGTAGGTCATCTACGCAAGCAGATTATTATTATTATTATTATTANCCACCACAGGTAGTTTGTCTTGCACCAATAGAAAGTCAGTTCTACTGAGAATAAGTTATCGTTTAACTTTGTGTCAGTTGTGTTCATGTGTTCAACCTATGACACCAAAGATCAAAACTACAAATTCTGTTTTTAGCCATGCTAGAGGCATAGCTCCAGGGATGATAATGTCTTGGTTGGCGCACTGCTTTGGTCCAAACTGAAATATCTCAACAAATAGACGATGGCTTGCCATAAAATTGCAAAGATATTCATGGTCCCCAGTGGATGAATACTTGTGAGTTTGGTAATCCTTTGACTCTTCAAGACTTTCCTGCTGTAAAAAATAAACTTGTAGGTCATCTACGCAAGCAGATTATTATTATTATTATTATTAATTATTATTATTATTATTATTAATTATTATTACATTTTATTGTTTGATGACCTCCAGTGGCCATAAGAGACATGATGGGAGCAAATGTTAAATAATAGTCAACATTATTTCTTTTATCTATGACCATTCCACAGCCTTAACTGCATGTTTACTATTGTAACTACGACAATGAACCTAAACAACCTACACTGGCCACCATTAGGTTGACAGTTTTCGTGAAATGTCTCAACAACTATTGTACTTTTTGTTTAGTGCTAATTAGAAAATGTTAGCATTCTAACACATTAAATTAAAACAGTGAACATGGCAAACATTTTACCTGCTAAACATCAGCATCTGACCATCGTCATTGTAAGCATGTTAGCATGCTAAAATCAGCGTTTACCTCTGAGCACCCCTGTGTCTAAGCAGAGCCGCACAGAGCACAGACATTTCAGTTTTTAATCCTTAATGTTTTACATTGTTTTAAAACAGGCTGTGAGGTCTCTGCATTATGTCAGATTAAAACATTTTATATCCTCTCTGTCTGTGTCTATAAGGGTCTGAAACCGATGGATTTCAACGGTTTGGCTGATCCTTACGTCAAGCTGCATCTTCTGCCAGGAGCTTGCAAGGTCTGATTTTATTATCAGAACATCATTTTGATTGAAAAAGATCATCAGAAAAAGAGTGCACACTTAATTCATTCTATAATTTTTAGAGTTTCAGAGACCAGTAAATCTGCATTGAGGCAAAATGAACTTGTAGCCAGTAAGCATTTGTTTTTCCTGTTGCAGTTGTTTGCTGTTTGCAGCTCTTGGAAAAAGCTTGGGGTTACATTATTGTTTTCCTCTCCCCCTGCTGTGATTTACAGGCCAATAAACTGAAAACCAAGACTGTTCGCAACACGCTGAACCCTGTGTGGAACGAGACACTCACTTACTGTGGAATCACTGAGGAAGACATGTATCGCAAAACACTCCGGTAAATGTTTACTGTAGAGGCTTTCTCACTCTTGTCCGCCTCATTTCCTGCCTGTCTGTTCTTTTTTTCCCATCAGAAAGTTGACACCTGCTTACAAAGGATTTCTTATCCTATATCTCAATCTCAGAGTCTTTATCCTTTCTCTGTTTCACTATGTTCCCTCTCTCCTTCCATCTCCGCTGATTCTTTGATCCTCCTTTGTCACCTCACCTTCGTTCCTCCCTGTCCTCACATCTCTCCTGTCCACAAGGATCAGAGAAGATCTCCCCTCATTCCTTCTAAACCACCCTTTTCTCTTTTGTCTTTCCTTCCCTCTCTCTCCCCCTGCCTTTCTCTCTTTCCAAGTTGCAGTGACAGATTGAGGTCAGACTAAGCACTGCAGGGTGTTTTAATTTCATTGACCCCCTCCAGAGGTGACAAAAGCTGCGAATTGTCTATGCCTGTGACTAAAACTTTGCCATGGCACACGTGGGATTTAAATAGGATCGACGGTTGAGGTCTCGGGGGAAATTAGAGAAACTGGCCCCACCACTGGCCTACGACACGGTGTTAATTCAACAGAGGCATTTAAAGATCAGGAGACAGAAAGTTTGACCTATTGAGACACGTAAACATGTTGAAGTTGTCCCCTGCAATGAACTGATCTTACAAATTGTTTGCCAAGTTATTTTTTTCAGGGACTGAATGTGACCACCTTTTCACATACATAAATCTTTATTATGAATAATCCATCCCATAGTTCAGCCATCTTAGGGCCGTTCTTGTCCCTAAGAATGTGACTAAAAAGGTTTCTTTCCAGACTTACAAAAGAAATCCATCACAGGAAAGGTAGGTTTTCCAATTTCTCCTCTGACAGCAGCTTCATTCGACCAGAACTCAATGCAACCAGGAGATACGCCACATTTTGAAAAAAGAGCTGAAGCCATATTTTTTCTAGCCTGGAGAAACTGCAGCTACATATTGTTTTTACTTCTCCAACTTCAAAGCTGCAGCAGTAGGTAACAAACTGCAGCTTATTCTCTGAGGGTTCATAAAACAGAAATGTAAGAAAATGCAGATCTTACAGTATCAGAAGAGTTGAAATTGCATATTTATATTCCCTTATGATGACGGGATAATTCTACCTTAATATCTCATCATATTGACCTACTATCTCATCATCTCATCTAGTTATCATATCTAGTTTTGACTTAGTAACTTAATATTTTCACTTATCTCAGAGATACTAAATCAAAATCATGAGATACTGAGTTAAAATTATGAGATACACAGAAAGAATGAGATAGAGAAAAATTATGACTTACTAAATAAAAATTATACTCAGTCACAATTGTGACCTTTTATTTCATAATTTTGACTTCATAAATCAATATTGTGACTTATTATCTCATAAATTTAAGTTACATTGATTCGAAGCCGCTCACACAGTTAGACAATGATCCATGAATTCCCATGTTCTCGTTGTGAGCAGGTGACTGTCTGTGACTGTGGCCGTCCACTCTGGTGCCCACAATAACATGAGATTTCTCTCCCTGCTTTACTGACATTATGAAATCTTTTTGATGCAGGAAATGTGTGCATTACTTCATGCTGTGTAACTGCACTCGTTGACCAATCGTACCTTCACCCATCGCTCCATCCTCAAGCCCCTTTGATCACAGACTTTGCTTGTATATCTATTGGACCATCTCTTTACTCTCACCGCTGACTGACTCGGTCTCTCTTTATTCTCCTCTGCTCTCACTTCTTTTTTGCTTCCTACTCCAGTCTTTTCTGTATTTTTTTTCATTCCATGTTCTTTCTTTCCTATTTCGCTGCTATTCGACTCTGAAGAGTTCTGGCTAATAAGCTACTAGACTAGAAATTACTTCTAGGGATGTCAACCCATATCTGGTGTCCCCAGGCAGCTGGCCTCCTGCACCTTTCACATTTCTTGCAAAGCAATGTTTTATTACCAGAAACTGAAGGTAGTAGGTGACTGCAAGGTTTCATTCCTATGGTTATAAACTCAGTTAGAAGTCAAGTAAAACAGCTGATGAAAAGGAAGCATGTTCATATCTGTATTTCTCCTCTGCCAGATGCATTCTTAATTTTCCTCTCCTCCTCGCATGTCTTTCATTCACATTTACATAAAAGACAGACAAAAGCAATCATGCTGGATTCCAGTTAACCTGCAGCATACTGATTTTTTCACATCTGCCTATAGACATGCACATTTGCGCGCATAAATGACTCTTCACGGACACACACACATGCAAATTTAAATAAATTCTTCAGTTTTTATCTCTGCCTCTCACCCACGTCAGTCCATCCTTCGCTCGGCAGCTTTTGATTTCACATATGCAGCCTCCCTCCATCGCCTTCACTCCTCTCTGCTGCTCCCACCCACTTACGCATTTCGAGTGACATAATGGCAGGTGCAAAAGTTTGCCAGGCCCATAAATATGGATTGAATTAACCCTGCAGATGCACTTTCACACTATCTGAATTCCCATGGGAGGGAAAGAGGTAATTACTGTGTATACAGATGCTGGCTTTAGACATAGGTGATTTCTCTGACTGTGTGCTCTTTAATGTGGGTCAGGTTTCTGTCAACAATTTCCTTCCCTCATTATAATATTGTCACAACATTAAGAATAATTGAATGAGTCATAAAATGCTGTTGTTTGACTACCGCCCTCCCTCACAAAAGCACACCATGTTTCCCTTTCTCCTCATCTTTGTCTCTCGCTCTCTCTCATTAACCAACACCCCCCACCCCCCTGAATCCTACCCCCACCCCCCACCTCTGTCTCTCACTCCCAGGGTGTCCGTGTGCGACGAAGACAAGCTGACACATAATGAGTTCATTGGGGAGTCGCGGGTGGCCCTGCGCCGTGTGAAGCCTGACCAGACCAAACACTTTAACATCTGTCTGGAGCATCCGCCTCCTGTGAGAAGAAGAGCAGAAGAGAGGGGGAGCAGAAAGAATAAAAAGAAGGATAGGAAAGAAAGACTAAAAGGAAGGAAAGAGGAAAATGAATGTGTATGATGAGAGAGATAAATCACTGGAGGGTACAGTAATACTCAATATATTAAGGCTTCCTGTCTTACTCACATTCTCATCTTTTAAAGTAGAAAAAAAAGATGGAGGAGGGGCAAAGGAGGACAGGAAATGCGCCAACAGGGAGGCATTAAAAATGTCGATATACACTACCAATCCACTTTCATGATGACCACACACCTGGGACTCATGATAAAACACCAATGTGTCTGCCGTATAGATCGAAAAAGCACTGGACAAATGCCTCTCAAAAAGGTGCTGGACAACATGTCCCAAAATACCTAAACTCACTCAAGATCACGCCCCTTTATTTGACATTAAAGACTGATCAATGCTGATATTGATATGAGAGTAAACGGAAAAAAACAGGCTGATTTGTAAATATTTAAAGCAAGGATCCCTCAGATATGTTTGATACTGTTTAAGAAAGAAACAGAACAGTGAACCTCGACTGAAATGACATTCTTATGAATAATGCTAAATAAATCAGCTGCAGTGGTACCACTTTCTAATACAGCACTGTTTATTACAAATTTTCAAGTTGTAATTAATGACTTTATTAATGGTTAATAAATAATTAACGAATGCTTTATAAATAGGAACAAAATTTGGGTTGCCATGTTGTGAAAAAAAAAAAACCTAAACTACTGTCTTTTCTATTTGGTAATAATGCATTATTAAATGTTGGTAATCAATAAATGCTTAGTAAGTTCTTAATAAACTACTTTGCAGCCAGATCCTCTGCGGCCTTTTTCTGGAGAGTGAGGGTTCATATGGGCCAATCAGTCAAAGGGATTTTTTTCACAACCTGATGACCCCAATTTTGTTTCCTATTGATGGTTTATAACTGATATATGGAGCATTAATACATGATTAAGCTGTTAGTAACAACTTATTTCTTTACAAAGAGTGTGTTGTTAGAAAGTTGTATGGCTGAATTAAGAAAAGTCATGGTCTAATATGCATAAAAATCATCCTGTGCAGATACTTTACATGGCCTAAAGTATGTGGACAAATATGTGGACACCAAAATATTACACCCATACATCATTCCAAAGCCACAGGCCTAAAACTGCTCAAGTCTTTGGAGAAAGCTTTCCACAAGATTTGGGACCTAGCTTCAGGGATTTGCTCACATTCAGCCTCAAGTGCTTTAGTGATTGTTGATGGGCAATGAAGCCTGGCTCACAGTAGCTGTTAAAATTCATCAAAAAGGTCTTGCTTATGGTTGACGTCAGGGCTCTGTGCAGACCTGATCTTCCACACTAAACTTGGAGAAAACCAAAAGAAAAACCAAACTGTTGCCACAAAGTTTGAAACATACTTTTGTCTGAAATAAGGTTTAAGAGCCCAAACCAAGAAAAACAGTTCCAGTCCAAAAGTAAACAAAGGACAGGTGGGTCCGCATATTTTTGGCCATACAATGTATAATGGATTAAGCCAATATCAGCTGGTGATATTGGTCCACTGACATAATTGAGATGATTATTGCCTCCTTTACAAATTACAAATATAAACTAAACAGAGAACAGAGTATCACATCTATTCTTACAGCCCACAAATAGCTTTTTGTGCAGGCTAAATGTCAGCTGGGTCACACGTGGGAAAAGGGTACACAGTAGAGTGGAGGAATAAAAGGTGAGGAGAAAGAGCGAGAGGAGAGGGGGGCCGGTGGAGTGTCAATAGAAAGAGAGAGCGAGAGAGATGAGAAACAAATGGATTAAAAAATAAAAGTGGTGGAGAGCGGGGGGCATGTGTGTGAAAAGAGGCAGGAGGGTGCTGGGTTTTTGTTCTTTATGAGTTGGAAAGGGCTGTTGGTATTAAATTGGCCCTCTGAGGCCGGTGGCCACTCTGCGATCAAACGCTAAACCCCCTTCTGTCATCCTGCGAACCAGACACTGTGTCAGACCTGTAATTTTCAAAGTGGCCTCACCCTTGACACGTCCATGTCTTCCTCTTCAATCTTTCCTCCTTTAAGCTGCTTGTATGGCTTTTCTGTCAGTCATACCTCATATTATTTATCTCTTTCTCTCCTTTTTGCTCTCTATACCTCCAGCTGGCATCACCAACTGCGATGAGCACAGCCCTGAGAGGAATCTCCTGCTACCTGAGAGAGGTGAACGCATGACTCCTCTGTCTGTTTTGGTCGACGTGACCCTCCTTCCGTCTGTCTGTCCACTCAGAGTCCAGCTTCCAACCTGTGCTAAAAGACTAGACCCAGGTCACCTTGTCCAGTATGAAACTAAAATGACTAAATGGCTCCAAAATATTTTCTCTGTGCCTTGGATTTGCTCTGATCTATGGCAAGCAACATTCTTAGTAAACCAATGTTACCATTAATTAAGCAAAGTTAATACACAACATTCAGATGATTGTTTGCATGATTTGCACATACTTTTATATTTAATTATACCCAGACTTGCCAGTTAAGATGTGTGCCATTAAAATCAAAGCAATTAGCACAAATTGAGTACACTAATACTTCAAATCACTGCTAACCATCTTGCAAATCATGTTAATGTATGTTGTCTACTGTTCCAGGAAATTTTTGGTTTCCATTCCTTTTCTGTGAGACACAAAAATCAATTAAGTCACTTGAGTGATGTAATCCATTAAGCCAGCATTAATTTATTGTTATGAGGTAATTAAGTGCAATAGCCTACATTTCAAATCACCCTGTGGTTAGACTGGTTAATTGAGTTTGATTTTTGTATCACAGAGAAATGAATTACAAATAATGGCTGCCTAATGTATTAATATCTATGTAGCCTTATTTCACTGTTGTAGGTGGTCGAGGTGGAGCAAAGTTGCAAATGTATATTGCATATTATGTGAACCATTCCTGGAAGACATTTCTGAGTATAATTACATCTTAAAAACCTTACTTTCTTAAAAAACTAGGAAAAAAGTCTGTCCGTGCAGTAAGAATACTGTATTCAATGAGTTTTTACTTTTAGATATTTTTGTAAATGCTCTAAAAAGGAGAAGAACTGTGAAAATGTCATAGAGGTCAGATTTTTTCACCTTCCTTAAAGAAATTAAAGATTTAAAGGACTCAAGTACAGATTAAGTAACTTGATAAGAAGAAGATTTTGTGCACTGGAAATGTATTATATTTTAAAAGATCACACAAAGTAACTATAGTAACTAGAGCTGCTGAGTAAACAGTACCATATTTACCTTTGAAATTCGGTGAAGTAAAAGAGTAAAGTAGCAGTACTTGAGTAAATTCACTTAGTTACTTTACAACACTGAGTAACACAAGTGGAGATGAGTCAGTATTGTCATAAAATTTGCAAACATTATAATGAGAGAATGTCTGACATTTTGACTTGATTAGAGCCATTGTTTGATTGGCCAAGTGGATTAATTGACCAATCATTTCAGCCCTAATAGTTCATTTATATAGTGGTCCATGTGTTTATGTAATGCTACTACTTCATGACTCAGCTCAGCTTGACTAATCTATTTGAGATTAACCATCTATATTGTGTTTGTCCATACTGTTTATTGTATTTCTTAATTTAATTTAATTTAATTTGATCTTTTTTACCTTTTCCAATGTATTCTTTATATTTATCCACAAATTTTCCATTACTCATGTTTTTTAACAAAACATGAATAACATTAGCCACTACAAGCTACTTGTCATACCAGACCAAATAAGGTTGTAGCAGCAAAACCTGATTGGTCGATAGTGGGTTTTTTTTATTATTACATATGAATTCAATCTTTTATTATATTTTATTTTTTCTTTAACAGGTCATAAAAATTTAAAGATGATTTCTAGTAAATAACAATCTTAGTGTCTCAGGTTTTTTAACCACAGAGATGATTTTAGAGCCAGTTGTCTCATCATATATTCTGGTAAAGCACGGAAGCAGCTAAACCCAAGGACCAGTGTAGTCCTTTAACTTCATTGGAGTTAAACAGCTGCCTCTGTGTTTCTCACCATATTTAGGGTTGTTTAATGTGTCTGCTGATCATCCCGTTTTCTTGCCTTGCAAACCCACCCACAAATTCATCTCATTCCCATTGATCTGTCACTGTGTGTGTGTGTGTGTAGCTGTGTGTCGCTGTCTCCACGCTAATGCCTGTTTATTTCCACCTCCCTAATGAGTTGCTCTCTATCGATCTGTGAAGGTCTGAGCTGTTTTATTTGCAGATACCTGGTACAAATTATCCTCACAAACTGCGAGTTTTAAAGTCTCCTACTCGTTGGCGACAGATGGTGAATTGACTGTTGGCAGTAATGATAATTCCCATAGAAAAACAGAGACAAGGATAGGGAAAAGACTGAAAAGAGAGAATTAGGAGAAAGAAGGGGCCAAGCTGTTGAGACAATTAGAAACAGAGAGGGAGGAGCATGCAAGAGTGTAGGGTGTGTGGCATATTGATCGCCTTGACTGCGTCCACCTATTGCCTGAAGATAAGACTTAATGAGAGATGGAGAGAGCTAAAGTAGAGACATTTAAGGAAAAATACGCTACAGGAGTAATGGAATTCATATTAAAGTTATATTATAGGCAGTAGAGCAGAGCCTTCTCCAGTTTCTGTGGTGAAACAACACAGATAACTCGGCTGAAAATCCTCCAAACATGCATCTTTCCTATAAATAACATACATACATTGGTGCTGTTGGCCATGACGGTGAGTCACGCTCTTGTGAGAACATCGTCTTCCCCTTCTTCACCCTCTGTCACTGCTTCCTCGCTTCTTTCATCTGTCACTTTGAATCTACTCAGTTGCTCTGCTTGTTGTCAAACGCTTTGCTAACAGTTTGATGTTGTCCATGGAAAATACTCAGGCCACAAGCGACAAAGTGCATTAATATGACTTAAAGGCTGGGGCTTTGGTTTTTTTTCCTAGACAGGTCTTTGCCATCGGACCGACTGCACTCCTGTTTTGTTCTCAGTGACAGTGATAGCTGGCTCTGTCTCTCAGCTGTGGCAGATGAGCTCAAATGTTAGATGAATGTCATAGTGCTCTTTAGATGAGTCTGCTTATGAATGACAGAAGAGAGATGAGCCACATCACAGCAAGAAACACAAAGTACATTTTAAAGCAAGACCATGTAAACTTTGAAAGAAGAAATGACACATTTTTCCTCTGAATTCAAAGCTGAATTCATAGACAATAAAAGTCACCCAGGGTCGATTCAGTACCCTCAGGGCTTTTGCAGCTGCAGCCTGTATGAACAGTAACATATAGTAGCTAGTGTGTGGAACCTATAAATGATAGATATTGCTGTATAGTGAACATTACTGACTCCTTTTGCTGACTTGATGATACTTCTTCACTTGTATTTCTGTTGGTATGCTACCGGACCAGAATAAAGGGGTCCAGATAAAGCATCAGGTTTTGGGTTGGGTTTGGGCCATTTTGTTGTGTGTTTGTACAGAGTTGGACCAGGTCCAGGTTTAATGATTTTCATTTCTTACCTCTTGGATGTTATGTGTTGCAAGTAGACATGCAATAGCAAATGGGATGAGTAAAAGGGCGTAGACAATGCATTGCATTAGCCTGATAAGCGAACGGTCAACAAATGAAATAAAGCAGGACCATAAACTTGAGTCTCTGTGGTGTTTTGGGTCTTGGCAGGTTTCGGCAGTAGCAGTTTGGTTCAGACTGGACAGGTCTTAAAGTCGGGTGGAATTCAGCTGGAATTGTGTTTTAGGCCTATACAGAAGTCTATACTTTCACAATGTTTTAGCATTCATCCTGTCAACTTGTGGCAAATGTAGCCACTGTTCACCAAACGTTGGGCTTATTTTAATATTTGCTGTGCCCCAATAGACAAACCTGCACAGTGTTTCAATGGTTTATTTTCACTGCAGCTTTAAACCTACATCAATTGATTTTTTGGTTTCAGTAAAAACAACACTGACATATTATCACCTCATTAAGTTGATATGTCGAGTATGTTTACAGACAGCTATGGCTTTTGTCCAGGGTTCATCAGTATGAGAGACCCCATTACACTTACTCATTTGATCCACAGGTAATACATAAAAAATATTGATTGCAGAACAGTATGAATATTATTGCCTGTTTCATCAGCAGGTCATGGCACAAGGCTCTGATGCATCATGTTCAGGCATCATTTTAACTCTGAACCTTAAGTCACTAATTTACCAGCTAGTTGTGCAGCTCATGCACCACTTCCCTGTTATTTTTCTTCCTATCTGTTATGTTCCCTCTCTCCTTCAGTGGGAGACAGAGCAGCAGAGAAGTCTAGAAGAGCGAGGCCGTTTGCTGCTCTGCCTGCAGTTCCTCCCTCCGGCCAGTGATAGCGATGTGAAGGGCGAGGCCAAGGAGAGGGCTCGTGGTGGGCTGTGTGTGGGTGTAAAACGCTGTGCCCACCTGGCAGCCATGGATGTCAACGGCTACTCAGACCCCTACGTTAAAACGTAAGGATGACGTCAAACCTCTGACTGAAAGCCATGGGATTTATATGCATTGTTGTATTTGATTAAATGAAGTGGAAAAATGTTTGTACATTAATGAAAAACAAATGATTATTTAACCATCAAATTTAGCATTTAATTGGACACATTTATAAGATGAATACACAATACACACAGCTTAGACTGATGGACTGTCAATTCACGATACTAATTTCACTAATTTCCACATGACCTATCCAGCTTCAGTCTCCCCTCCACCATATTACCTGTCGTTGGCTCATATTGACTCCATGAATCACCTTTTGTTGTCCCTCATGAATGATATATGACTTGAGTTAACCCCCACATAAGGTAATGGTGATAGATGAGAGCAGCTTTCACACAAGTGGAAGCAATTGTGAAATATATCACTCATTCATCAAGATAATGAGAACAGTGTGTGCGTGTGTATTGGCAGCCTTCAAAGTGGACTGAAAGGCATGACATGATCTAATGTTATGGGCGTATTGTATCTGTAGTGTATAGGAGATGCCAGATTAGGAAAAGTCGGGTCGGGTGCTATTGTTAATATTATAGAGGTCCTCTGGAGTTTCATTACTCACTGATGAAAGAAAAGCAATACTGTGTGTGTGTTTGTGTCTGTGCTAGAGAGGGCAGAAGGTTCCTGGCCTGAATGATGCACCCTGACAGAAATGGACAAATGAGCTTTAAAATCCCCTTCTTCTTCTTCTTCTTCACTCTGCGTACTCCTGAGTGCTGGTTCTGACTTTGAGTTTGTGTCTGGAATAAGAAGAACATAAATAATCTCCCATCACGAACATAAACATGCACATAAAGGCGAGCATGCCACCATGCTCATCTCACCTCAGTATACACTCAAAGTAAAGGGCTTAGGTTTGGTCTCAACACTGGTAGCGATGCAACAACACCGCAAACCCTCCAAAATAGAGATATAAGCTTTTAAATGCCGTCAACCAAAAGGTTTATTAATATAAAAGAACTGAATTTACATTCAGCAATGCCCATATGCAAATGCAATATATGGACGTCAAAAGCTGCATAGTATAATAAGGCATTAAATATCATTAAAACGTCATAGTGTCATAAGGCCTAAAATCAACAAAAAAAACATCACAATATAATGAGCCATAAAAATGTCAAAAAACGTCATAGTATAGTAAGCCATAAAACGTAAAAAAAAACGTCATAGTACAGTAAGGCATAAAATGTCATAGTATAGTAAGGCATAAAATGTCATTAAAACTTCATAGTATAGTAAGGCATAAAACGTCATAGTATAGTAAGGCATAAAATGTCATAAAAATGTCATAGTATAATAAGGCATAAAATCGTCAAAAAAACATCATAGTATTGTAAGGCATAAAACGTCAAAAACACTTTATATTATAGTAAGGCATAAAAAGTCATAAAAACGTCATAGTATATTAAGGCATGAAACGTCATAGTATAGTAAGGCATAAAAAGTCATTAAAACCTCATAGTATAATAAGGCATGAAATGTCATAAAAACGTCATAGTATATTAAGACATAAAACGTCAAAAAAAAACTTCATATTATAGTAAGGCATGAAAAGTCATAAAAACGTCATAGTATAGTAAGGCATAAAACGTCAAAAAAAACTTTATATTATAGTAAGGCATAAAAAGTCATAAAGACATCATAGTATAGTAAGGCATAAAAACGTCATAAAAACGTCATAGTATGGTAAGGCATAAAAAGTCAAAAAATGTCACAGTATAGGAAGGCATGAAACATCATAGTATAGTAATGCATAAAAAGTCATAAAAACATCATAAAATGTCATAGTATAGTAAGGCATATAAAGTCATAAAAACGTCATAGTATATTAAGGCATAAAATGTCAAAAAACATCATAGTATAGTAAGGCATAAAACGTCAAAAAATGTCATAGTATAGTATGGCATAAAAAGTCATAAAAACGTCAAAACATAGTAAGGCATGAAATGCTGTAAAAAAGTCATAGTATAGTAAGGCATAAAATCGTCAAAAAACATCATAGTATAGTAAGGCATAAAAAGTCATAAAAATGTCATAGTATATTAAGACATAAAACGTCAAAAAAAACTTCATATTATAGTAAGGCATCTCTCTCAAATTGAATCGAAGGCAACTGGACTTGTATTTGTCTGTGGAAGATGTTTCGCCTCTTATCCAAGCGGCTTCATCAGTTCATCATGTATTGGTCTCTCTAGTCCGCACTAGTCTGACTCTTGGATAAGAGGCGAAACGTCTTCCACAGACAAATACAAGTCCAGTTGCCTTCGATTCAATTTGAGAGAGAGATAACTATGACCTGGACGAATGACAACATTCACAGACAGATATAGTAAGGCATAAAAAGTCATAAAAACGTCATAGTATATTAAGGCATAAAACGTCAAAAAAAACTTTATATTATAGTAAGGCATAAAAAGTCATAAAAACGTCATAGTATAGTAAGGCATAAAATCGTCAAAAAACATCATGTTATTGTAAGCCATAAAACGCCAAAAAATGTCATAGTATATTAAGACATAAAACGTCAAAAAACGTCATAGTATATTAAGGCATAAAACGGCAAAAAACGTCATAGTATAGTAAGGCAAAAAAAGTCAAAAAACCATCATAGTATAATAAGGCATAAAATGCAAAAAAATGTCATAGTATAGTAAGGCATTAAAAAGTCAAAAAATGTCATAGTATAGCAAGGCACAAAACGCCAAAAAATGTCATAGTATAGTAAGGCATGAACGGCATTAAAACATCATAGTATAATAAGGCAGGAAATGTCATAAAAACGTCATAGTATACTAAGGCATAAAAAGTCATAAAAACATCATAGTATATCAAGGCATAAAACGTGATAGTATAGTAAGGCATAAAAATTCATAAAAACGTCATAGTATAGTAAGGCATAAAATCGTCAAAAAACATCATATTATAGTAAGGCATGAAACGCCAAAAAATGTCATAGTATAATATTAAGGCATAAAACGTCAAAAAACGTCATAGTTTAGTAAGTCATAAAAAGTCATAAAAACATCATAGTATAGTAAGGCATGAAAATCGTCAAAAAACATCATAGTATAATAAGGCATGAAATGTCATAGTATAGTAAGGCATAAAAAGTCAAAAAAAGTCATAGTATAAGAAGGCATGAAAAGTCGTAAAAACGTCATAGTATACTAAGGCATAAAATATCATAGTATAGTAAGGCATAAAAAGTCATAAAAACATCATAGTATATTAAGACATAAAACGTCATAAAAACGTCATAGTATAGTAAGGCATGAAATGTCGTAAAAAAGTCATAGTATAGTAAGGCTAAAAAATCGTCAAAAAATGTCACAGCATAGTAAGGCATAAAACATTATTAAAACCACATAGTATAAAAAGTCATAAAAACGTCATAGCATAGTAAGGCATAAAAAATCATAAAAACATCATAGTACAAGAAGGCATGAAATGTCGTAAAAATGTCATAGTATAGTAAGGCATAAAATGTCATAAAAAATTCATAGTGTAGTAAGGCATAAAACGTCTTTAAAACCTCATAGTATAATAAGGCATGGAATGTCATAAAAACATCATAGTATAGTAAGGCATAAAAAGTCATAAAAACGTCATAGTATACTGAGGCATAAAATGTCATAGTATAGTAAGGCATAAAACGTCAAAAAAACTTCATATTATACTAAGGCATGAAAAGTCGTAAAAACGTCATAGTATAGTAAGGCATAAAAAGTCATAAAAACATCATAATATAGTAAGGCATAAAAAGACAAAAAACGTCATAGTATAAGAAGGCATGAAAAGTCGTAAAAATGTCATAGTATACTAAGGCATAAAATATCATAGTATAGTAAGGCATAAAAAGTCATAAAAACATCATAGTATATTAAGACATAAAACGTCATAAAAACGTCATAGTATAGTAAGGCATAAAAAGTCATAAAAACATTATAGTATAGTAAGGCATAAAACGTCAAAAAACTTCATAGTATAGTAAGGCATAAAAAGTAATAAAAACATCATAGTTTAGTAAGGCATAAAACATCAAAAACACTTTATATTATAGTAAGGCATAAAAAGTCATAAAAACGTCATAGTATAGTAAGGCATAAAAAGTAATAAAAACATCATAGTATAATAAGGCATAAAATGCAAAAAAATGTCATAGTATAGTAAGGCATTAAAAAGTCAAAAAATGTCATAGTATAGCAAGGCACAAAACGCCAAAAAATGTCATAGTATAGTAAGGCATGAACGGCATTAAAACATCATAGTATAATAAGGCAGGAAATGTCATAAAAACGTCATAGTATACTAAGGCATAAAATATCATAGTATAGTAAGGCATAAAAAGTCATAAAAACATCATAGTATATTAAGACATAAAACGTCATAAAAACGTCATAGTATAGTAAGGCATAAAAAGTCATAAAAACATTATAGTATAGTAAGGCATAAAACGTCAAAAAACTTCATAGTATAGTAAGGCATAAAAAGTAATAAAAACATCATAGTTTAGTAAGGCATAAAACATCAAAAACACTTTATAGTATAGTAAGGCATAAAAAGTCATAAAAACGTCATAGTATAGTAAGGCATAAAAAGTCTTAAAAACATCATGGTATAGTAAGGCATAAAACGTCAAAAAACTTCATAGTATAGTAAGGCATAAAAAGTAATAAAAACATCATAGTATAATAAGGCATAAAATGCAAAAAAATGTCATAGTATAGTAAGGCATTAAAAAGTCAAAAAATGTCATAGTATAGCAAGGCACAAAACGCCAAAAAATGTCATAGTATAGTAAGGCCTGAAATGTCATTAAAACATCATAGTATAGTAAGGCATAAAAAGTCATTAAAATGTCATAGTATAATAAGGTATGAAATATCATAAAAACGCCATAGTATAGTAAGGCATAAAATGTCATAGTATAGTAAGGCATGAACGGCATTAAAACATCATAGTATAATAAGGCAGGAAATGTCATAAAAACGTCATAGTATACTAAGGCATAAAAAGTCATAAAAACATCATAGTATATCAAGGCATAAAACGTGATAGTATAGTAAGGCATAAAAATTCATAAAAACGTCATAGTACAGTAAGGCATAAAAAGTAATAAAAACATCATAGTATAAGAAGGAATGAAACGTCGTAAAAATGTCATAGTATAATAAGGCATGAAATGTCATAGTATAGTAAGGCATAAAAAGTCATAAAAACGTCATAGTATAATAAGGCATGAAATGTCATAAAAATGTCATCGTATAGTTAGGCATAAAACGTCATTAAAACCTCATAGTAAAATAAGGCATGAAACTTCATATTATACTAAAGTATAAAGAGTCATAAAAACGTAATAGTATAGTAAGGCATAAAATGTCAAAAAACGTCATAGTATAGTAAGTTATAAAAACATAAAAAATTAAATGTCATAAAATAGTCATAGTATAGTAAGACATAAAAAGCCACAAAAACCTCCTTGTATACTAAGGCATCAAAAGGCATTAAAAGTCATAGTATAGTAAGGCATAAACACTTATCAAAACAACACATTAAAATAAGGCATAAAAATGACATAAAAATTCAATTCAGTTTCATTTAAATTTTATTTGCATAGCACTAAAACATAATACAAATTTCTCTCTTCGCATTTTACAGGGGAAGGTCCAGACCTTATTTTTTTATAGAGAGAAACCCAACAGTTTCCACAATGAGCAAGCACTTGATGACAGGGGGAAAGAAAAACTCCCTTATAACAGAAAGAAATCTCCAAAAGAACCAGTCTCAGGGTGGGTGGCCGTCTGCATTGACTGGTTGTCATATTATAGTAAAGCACAAAAAGTCATAAAAACGCCATAGTATAGTAAGGCATAAACAGTCGTAAAAACGAGATAGTATAGTAAGTCGTAAAAATTCATAAAATGTGATACTACATTAGCTATAAAAAGGCATAAAAACAACATTGTATGGTTAGGCATAAAAATCTAAAAAACATCATAGTATGGTAAGGCATGAAAACATCATAGTATAGTATGGCATAAAAATATCATAAAAAAGTCATGGTATAATATGGCAGAGGCATAAAAGGCATAAAAATGTCATAAAAATGTTATATTATAGTAAGGCATCAAAAGTCATAATAACAATATTGTATGGTAAGGCATAAAAACATCATCCTATGACAAAGTATAAAAAGTCCTAAAAACAACATAGCATAGTAAGGCTTAAAAAGGTATAAAAACAACATAGTATATTAAGGCATAAAAACATCATAATATAGTAAGGCATCGAAATGCAAAAAAACGACATAGTACAGTAAGGCATAAAAAAGACATAAAAACATCATAGAGTAATAAGGCATAAAAAGTCATAAAAACATCATAGTATAGTAAGAAAAACAAAAATCATTAAAATGTCATAATACAAAATATTAAAAAAACATTATAGTACAGTAAGTATAGTAAACTCCAGACAGAAAGGCCCCAGGCCTGGGAAATCATAGTATAGTAAGGCATAAAAAAGTCATAGTATAGTAAAGCATAAAAAAGTCGGTTAGTGTGGTCAGTTAACCTAATGTGTATTTCTTTGGACTTAGGGAGAAACCTGGAGTACCCAGACAGATCCCACGCAGGCACAGCGAAAACATTCAAACTCCACAAAGAAGGGCCCCAGGCCTGGAGTTCGCACCCAGAACCTACTCACTGTGAGGTGACAGTTTTATCCACTGCACCCTCAAGTATAGTTAGGCATAAAAATTCATACTATAGAAATTAATAAAACAGTAATAGTATAGTAAGGCATAAAAAGTCATAGTATAGTAAGTCATGAAAAAACACCATAGTATAGTCATGGCATAAAAACGTCATAGTATAGAAATGAATAAAACGGTAATAGTATAGTAAGGCATAAAATGGGCCATAGTATACTAAGGGATTACCAGTAAACCTAATGTTCATGTCTTTGGACTGCGGGAGGAAGCCGGAGTACTCTGAGAGAACCCACGCATGCACAGGGAGAACGTGCACACAGAAGGGCATCTAGACCAGGGTTCGAACCCAGAACCTTCTCACTGTGAGACATTATAACCACTGCAACACCATGCCACCCAATAAATAAATCTTTGTATTGTAAAACATAAAAACCTCATAGAATAATAATAATAATATGACTTCACTCTAAACATAGTGCGAACAAGTTCACTCAAATATCTATAGGAAAAATTCTATCCTCCCAAAATATTGGTAGGGACATGTCCCTATTGTCCATATGCAAACTTACACCCTTGCTCACTGTCTACCTTCTCCTTTCCCGTCATGCCTCAAGCTCAAGTTTTCCCCCTCCTTCCTTACATCCACTGAACCTATACATACATCCCTCACACATCCACAGTAATACATCATACACCTTGTTTCATTTTGGATGCGTGCTTGCATCTTTGCCCTTTGGCAGGAGCTTTTTCTCAGATGCTTTGTTGTGTCTGAGAGCGAGTGGGAACATACGCTCCCCGAGCTGTGGGTGGTGGGTGGAAAGCGAATGTGAATAGAGATTTTGCCACGCTCCTTCCAGCTGGCTTAAAAATATCCCAAGAATTTAATGACAGCTCGCAAAGGGATGCTGAGCTTTTTCAATCTGTGTTGTGTTGGTGGAGGAATTACTGATCAGTCCTCACACTTACACAGGGCTATTTTCACAAATAATAAATAAAAACATTTAATGACTGTTAGGACATTTTTATTATTATTTGCTTGCCTTCTGAGAGTTAGACGAGGATATTGCTATAACTGTTTGTTTGTTTAATAAGAAGCTAGCTTAGCACAAAGATTGAAAACAGTGAAACAGCTCCTAATTATTAAGATTATTAAGTGTAAAAATGCCATTCTGTTCCCGGAGTATGGAAACTGGAGACTTGAAATAGCCAAAAAATAGGCACAGTAATGGTCCGCTAAACCACATTGTGACATTTTTACAATTATTCTTATAAGTAATAACTTTTTCAAATCACCTTTCAGGGGAGAAGTCACTATGAATGTAGTAAAAGAGTGACATAACAGGAAAATACACCAAATCTGCCCATCAATGACTGCAACTCCTGGGTGAACGTAATTATCTATATGTCCGATCTTATTCTGACCTTTAGTCATAGCTGGTATGTGCAGTTGCCCTTAGTGCTTTAATATTCCTTTTAGCAGTAGCCTATCTGTTTTGAATGATAATGACCAGACTCATATATGATGGTATCACATTCCTCTGTCTCAGGTATCTCAAGCCAGATGTTCACAAGAAGTCCAAGCACAAAACAGCAGTGATAAAAAAGACTCTCAACCCAGAGTTTAATGAGGTAGCTATCCGTGTTTGAGTACGTGCATGTGAATAAATGTGGAAGTGAGAAGCACATTTGCAGTGGCTGAATGTAAATAGACAAGCTTATATTGTCCTCAGAGACACTATACTGCATACAAAGTTTCTGTAAGACAGCCAATTACAGTTTGCACATTAATGTCTTCTGCTTCATTAGTGAGTATTTTAGAGGTTTGTATGTAGAGGTGTGTAGGTGTGATCTTCTGACCTCTGCTCTTGCCCACTCATCCCTTTCCCCTCTTTGTTTCCACCAAGGAGTTCTTCTATGAAATCTCCTTCTCAGAGTTAGCCACCAAGACGCTGGAGGTCACGGTGTGGGACTACGACCTAGGAAAGTCCAATGACTTCATAGGTGAGTTGACACCACAAGCATCCAGCAATTAGTAAATTCCTGCTGGCGAATTTTGGAGCACTGATTGGCCACTTTATGAGCAGTCTAATAACATTGTACCCATGGCAGATGTTGCCAAAGATATTTTAGGATGTTCTCTATTGCTATCATCGGAGTGCAGCACTGTGTGTAATTTGCAATGTTTAGTCGCCAAAAGGGCGTTAGTGACATTTTGTCTGAAAATGAGCTTCACACTATACTTGTTCTGTGAGTGGGAGTAAGTCATTTCACAATTTCAATAACTTTTTGCTTCTACTTTTTCTGGGAAATTTTTCTTTCTTAAAGTAATTACAGGTTAGGTCTAGGGTTTTTCATTACTTTTTTTTATTTCCAGAAAATCCTAAAATAAAGTCAAAACTGGCAGTGTGTTAGTCTGTCTCTCAGTACTTTCAGATTTCCCATCCCTGTTCATGGCACGTAATCCCAAGTCTACACTTGTTTCTACTAGAGGTAAATCGTTAAAAACAGGTACATATATAGTTTACTTAAAAAAACAAAAAAAAGGCTCAGTCGTCTCTTGAAACTCCTGGGCAGTTGGGTAGTTCTCAGCACAAGTCAGTCAAACAGGAGTAGTACAATTGTTGGGGACTATTTTCATCTATGGATATATAAACATTTTGTGCTCTGGTGAGTATCTCCAGCAGCAGGACAGTGTCTATTTGGAACTGAGTCAAACAGTTCCCATGTGGATCATAATGAAGGAACCTGTGTTCGAGTGCAGTGGTGTGGCTCACTGATTTGTTTTTAATCGTTTTTAGAGGTCTGCAGCACAGAGGAAGAAGTTATTAAGCTTTGGCTACACAGACAACACTTGTTGGAATGATATTGTTGATTTAGTTTTTTTCAGGGGTTGTTGAGAAGTAGAAAAATACAGAAAATCACCAGATGTAGTTAAGTTTCTATTGAAAGAGAATACTTCCTTGCTATTGAACTCAATTAAAAACATGAAAGTATTAGTCAGTCGGTGATGACAGGAAGGCTAACCTGACTTAACTTTGTTCATTTTATTTTGTAATTTCCACATTTTTCTCTGAAACGGTCCAGTTTTAACCCTCTCAGGTGTTTGAAGATCACATGCAACAGTGATCCGGTTTCAAAAACGGTATCTCAGTCACTTTTATTGTGGGTACATCTTAAAGAGGCCACTGCGAACATCTGATCTGAACATCATATCTGACCATTTTTGTAATCATTAGACGCCTTGGGTCTCAGCCTTTAATTTCTTTTGAAAGAGAAATGGAAATATATTCCTTTCTATGAATAACCACACGAGCAACTAGGGATAAAAGACAACAAAATATGCAATTACTGCCAATACAACAGCGCAGTAGAAAATAACACCATCTAGAAGATTTTCAATAGACCCAAAAGGTGTCGGTTGAAGCTACAGCTAATTACTCTCCTAGCAATACACAACCTATTTAGGATCAAAAGTAATATCAGACAAAAACACTAATGCCAGCATGCCATTCTGGTAATACGTTTTGTTCACTTTTTTTTTACCTGCTACTCGCTGTTTGTCTATTAAACTTGAACTTTCCTCTCTGCATAGATTGACCGATATTATTTATTGTCTCTGCACTTGTCAGGGGGTGTGTCCTTAGGGTGTCACTCACAGGGAGAGACTCTGCAGCACTGGATAGACTGTCTGAAGAACAAGGGCAAGAAGGTGGAGCGCTGGCACACGCTGACCAACGAGCTGCCTGGATCCACACTGCAGGAATGAACTGAGCCTCTTCCACTGCACTGACACTGGAGAGACTGCCTGAAGACTCGGGATGGGAGACGTTTCATCGCATGCTCTGAGGATTTTCTGCATGTCTATGATGGATTCATATCCTACTTACTTTGTGTCATAAATGAGTTAATAATTCATAACAACATACCCAAAGGGGTCACATGCAGAGATCAATACTCTAATCTCAGATCTAAATAGACCTGATGCAAATCTGGGAAACCATCCCTACCACAAAGCTATGATTGTGAGAATTTCCATAATCATATTCATAGGGATCTATGTCCCTTTTATGGGTTGTATGTTAATCTAAATGCTCCTCTGCACTGCTCCAAACTGGTCAGATCTCAATAAATGAGAAAAATTGAAATCGTTCAAGAAAGTAAAATGAGGGAGAAAGTTGGAATTATTCTGCGCTTCGACTCTCATGTCATCTCTCATGTCAGGTTTGCTCACTCTTATTAAATTTGGCCTGCTATTTTTCATTAACTGCTGACATTAAACTCCACTATTATGACCATCTGTTTCACAGCGCACATACCTCTCCCTTGCAATAATGTTTTGCCTAATGCTTCCGAAGATTTCCAAGTGGTCTTAATACTGCCAGACGTTTTTGTATCTATTGATCTGATTGCCATTTGATTGCCTGCAGACAGCACAACCTAATAAGATAATTGGTTCTTCCATGTTGATGGTTTGTGTCAGTTATTTGCATGTTTGGTGTTGACGCAACAAACTTAAATGACAAATATGTGCCAGACTCTGCTGCAGGATGAAATGTTCATCATTGTGTTGTTCCCAATTCTCCTGAGGTGTGTTGCTCTGATTAACTAAAGAGAATCTTTAATTTTATTCAAGGGTAACAGTTTTTTTTTTTTATGTTGTTCACAGTTGTTGGATGTGTCAGCTCAAATATCAGTGTGTCAGTTTCTCGTTGATGACACGTTGATGTTAACCTACTTTTGCTTCACAATCCTTCGTTTGTGAGGATGAGGATGGTGGTGTAATAAACAGAAAAGTTTCAGAGCAGTGGAGAGTTGTGCATGGTCGTACTCTGTCAGACAGTAAATGAAATCATCAGCCCTTGTTTGATATCTGAATAACAAATATGAATGGTGTGAAGAGCACAGTGTTGTCTGGTAGCTCTCCATCTGCTGCTTTACTATTGATTGCAGGTTTTATTTGTACTCGGTCTTGTGGTAAAAGAGGCATGCTGAAAATACCAGTGGTGTTTATATGTAAATATATATTGTGTTTCACTTGCTTTGGATGTTTGTCTTTTGGAACATAAACTGTGCATGGTTGTTTCTTTCTTTTTCTTTTTTTTTTCTTTTTTCTTTTTTTTTTGCATAAAACATTCATATTGATTTATTACGTGTATCCCTGAATTTCTATTATATTTGCTGGTTCCAAAGTGTCAGCAGCTCAGAGGCAGTCCAATAAAGCCAACGCTGCCACCTGGTCTTCAGAGTCTGCAACTGCAGCCTCTTCTCTGACAGTAATGTAAGCAGAGGTGATCATGGGGTCGTGTCCGAGGAGCACAGGCACAGGTGTAGGAAAATCAATGAAAGCAACATTATTAGTTTAACTCTGCACACTCTCACATTTGTTTAAGAAAAGTAAAAACACAAAATCTGTGATTCTATCATTGCCTATGATCAGTCAGAACTTAACCTGTAACCTTCAAACAACTATATAGAAGCCTTTCAATAATAATAATTACAATCTTACAGCTAACAGTGAAATTTAATAACTACTGAATACTCATTAATGAAATTTAAATACCACTGAATGTACTCTTTTTAAATAGCTGACTTTTAAAACTATCTTTCTGAACTAATGTGAAAATTTTAAGCATGCAATTTCAAAAATTGTATTAATGTTGAAGTCAGATTCAAAAATACAAAAATATCCAAAATACAAAAACCTATATTCAATTTGCTGAAATTTAACAAGTTAAATTCTGATCTAAGAATTCAAATCAAGTCACAGATCAAATTAACCAACAGCCAAATTGGATTATTTAATCCAGACACCAAATCTGAGGATGACAAATGAAAACTACTTTGTGACAGAGGATGCTTTGTAATTCAGGCCGATTGGACACTTTGATCACATCATGATTAACAGAACATAATTTGATTGGACAAGGGTCTTATTGATTCCAATCAGACTCAGCTGATATAATCAGTGGCTCAGATACTTATAAATCGAATTTCACCAATCCAGTTTGTGCAACCTAATTTAATTTTGTGCTATTGTTACCTAGATGTGAGTTTCTTCTTTTCTTATCACCTGTGTTATTGATTCCTGCAAGATCTATTGAACTTCTCGCTTGTTCCATTTGACAGTGAGGTCAGGGCCAGGACATCAGGATGTTTTTGGTAAACACGCTTCCAGGGTATATGCATGGATAGATCGACATGCTGTGAGACTCACCATGAGCCGACCAAGTGTCTGACTCAGAAGCAGAGTCATGGACGTCAGGACAGAGGCTCCGTCTAGAATTCAGATAGAAAAGAAGGGTTAGGAAAAACACCTGAAGCTCATTACAGCTGTACAGTTTCTGATTATTGTGCATTCTCTCGTGTATCCGAGCGGGAAATAAGCTCTTTGTGAAATTTGAGAAGGCTACTACTGTTTCATCTTAGTCACTGTTTGTTCCTCCCTGCACTCATCAAAATCAGCTGCACCCCTGGATGTCTGTCCTCTACAAATCCTGTCAGTAGAGGAAAAAATGTCTTTATGATACCACCATTACTGTTATGAATACTAATTTTTTTTAAAAGTGCAATGAATATATAATCAAAAAATGTATAGTCCAAATTGATCATTTAACCATAATATAAAATTCAAACAAATTAATATAACAAACATCAACTAGAAAAAAAGGAAAGAAAAGAAAGAAAGAAACAGAAAAACAGAAAATATAAAATAATTAGGAATTAGTTTCTCATGCTGTTTCTCATGTTTATGTGAAATATACCAATCTAAGATACTTTTTTATTGCTGAAGAGTTCAAATGTAAATATTCTACATTGTGCATTATTTCATACACATTTTCCCCAATTTCAGCCTGAAATATTTGGTATCTTTGGTAACGTTAAGAGTTTTAAAAAAAAGTTCAGCAGGTTTGAACAATGTTTGGCAGCACAGGATGACTGACGTCTGCATCAAAGCAAGATGAACATAATGTGATTTTCAAAGGGATCTAAAAGACTGTCTTTGGGAACCTTTTCCAGAGTGAAGTTTTAACTAAGAACAACAAACCTGCCTTGCACTCATTCAGAAGCTACTGTAAAACCACATAAAGCCTTAAAATTGATCACTCATATCTTAAAATCGACTCTAAATTCCACAGGTAGCAGATGTAGGGATTGTAAGTTTGAGGTCACACACTCTCTCATGTTAGAACTACTGAGTCTGTGTTTGTGAAGTCATTTTCAAAGAGTTCGTGTAAACACAGATACAGAACATTGCGATAGTCCAGGTCCAGACGTAATAAAAAATCTGAGTCTTTGCAGATGAAAAAAAAAATCTAAATTGATGTAAAAAAAAATTGAAATTGATCTAATCTTGTGCATTTTATGAAGCTGCAGGAAAGAGGCCCAGCCTGCTGATTTTATGATCTAAACTGAGATCACAGTGAAAAATGACAGGGGACAATAAACATTCAGCCTTTGACGCAGCTCTGCATTTTAAACGACAGCAGCGGCGGCCTCCTCATGATAAAAATGTTTAATTAAAATCAAATGATCATCGGTGTCAGAGGACGCAATATCATCTAAAAGAAGAACTCATCAGGATATAATCATATTGACAACATGATGGCCTGTAAACGGTCCTCAGAAGATGAAAAAACATGGCAAGCAAGTACTGTAGAAAAAACTCCCTCTCTGGTGCTGCAGACAGACTTTAATATGACCATTAAAATAATAAAAGTAGTTATTTTTGCTCAGGGAGGATTAATCTAAAATCCAGTGGTTTAGTAGATTTCTGTGAAACCACAAACGTTTATTTAAAGCTAACCCCTATCTGCTCTGCAGGGACCAGCGTGACTGCAGGTTGAGAAAACACATCATACGTAACGAGCGTTACTAGCAGCACATCACGTCACAAAACAGCGTACTTCCACACCAACCTACTGGCTGTCTGACTCTCTGAAAGGGTTTTGATTTTCATGATCATTCACATTATTGTTTGGTTTGGTGTTGTTTCAGTCCATGTTATTGAGCTATTGTTTGTATCAAGATTAAAACCACAAATATTCAAGCTGAGGTCATCTTAGCATGATCATGTCATAAGAATAGAGCTGACAGCATCATAAACAAGTGAATCTGAGGCGATGCCACTGAAAACAAAAGGTAAAAAGAGTGATGAAGACGCCACAGAAGGAAGTCCCATTGGATACTGCAAACAAACTAAAGAGCCTTGATGGAAAATATTGCAGTTATATTTCAGCACAGAGGGACGGAGCTGTGACTCCACTCTGTGAAGATGAGTTGTTTTCATTACAGAGCCAGCGATGAGCACATTACTGCCACCTAGCCAGGACTGTGGTGAAAAGTTAGACGTCGCAGCGAACGGAGAACGCTGAAGTGTGGCAGTCGTGCTGTACAGTAATAATGGGTCGAATAACAGCCTGAAGCTCCCGTCACATTTTTTAATTAAGCTACATTTGTTTGGATACTGTAAAGGTACTGAATCACAACTCACTTCCTGAATAGATTTTAAGTGGATTCCATCGTTTCCTTTGGCCCTAGTGTCGCACGTTTATTAGTGTGAAATTTCATTGTGGGTTTGGAATCATTTGCAAGACAAACTTACCCTGCATCCAAACACCACATTCAAAACATGTTATGACTTTAGATATAAAATACAAATAATTAATCATTCATTTGTCTCTGATTTTGAAGGTGACAAACATTCAGCACTTAGTGGCAAATTATTCACTGTTTACAGATTGAATCAATTATTAATTAAGTCTGTAGAGAAATAACAAATGTAAATTATGTTTGAAAACAACTGAACGAAGGAAACGTGATGAACATTTCTCTTCGTTCCAGGCGGCGAACCGACCAGAGTGTAAATAATTAAATGAATGTTGGCTGAATTCCATTTAGCGGCTTCAGGTTCAGGGTCCTGGTATTGTGCATGCTGGCTCATTATCACAGTGTCATGGCTTACTGGGACACTTGAATAAAACAGAGCCATTGTTGATGTTATTACTAACACCTGTGCTTTTCCATATCTGCTGTGGAAAAAGGCCCCATCAACAGTTTTAGTACTAAACTTTTATGACAGACATTTTCATCTGTCACGACAGTAAAAGCACAGATGTAACACATTATAGTAATGACGGTCTCATCCTATTTAGGTTGATCAGAAAGGCGTGCCAAGCTGAGCCAACATGCAAAATGACAGAGCCATAAAGTGCTGTCATAATTAAAGTGATTGGTTACACCTGTGCTTTTACTGCCATGACATCTCAGAACATCTGCTTTTTGACAACAAACTTCACAAAGAACTATCAGTCAAAAACGAATAGCGAGTCTGAAAACTAGAGCTGGAAAATTGTTGTGTTGACAGGTGTTGAGAAAGTCTCTGAAAGTCCACTAGTAACTGTGTACACCAGGCTGCTGTCACTGAATGAAATACAGTAAGTCCCTGTCAAAATGAGCCACGGATACAAATTGAATCTTTCATGTGGAAACTGTTGACACTTTCACAAGCATGTCATAGTATAAAAAAAACATTAATAATTCATAGTAATCCCTAATAATTACTATCTAATTCCTCTTGCCACAATGATCCATCTCAGCTTTAATTCACTCTCATAATGATTATTTTTCAGCCCTAGTTCTCCCTGCAATTTAAGCAGGCAATAGAGCAGCATTGCCACAGGTCAGTATATCTCATTATGCTGTTATTTCCTATGCAGACTGACAGGATGATCATGATGCATCCGAACGCTGCCAAGCTGACTCACAGCCTCAGTGTTTACGTGACCCAGCTGGATAATCCCTGACCCACTTACTGCATCTGGATGTGACTCTGTCTGGTACAGTGATCCCCTTCTGAGCCGAACTGTATTACATACCTACTGTTAAATTAGCTGAGTACAAGGAAAAATACTGCTGTCAAAATGTGAAAACTTGTGAGGGAGAATTTGCTGCAGTCAGATGTTGTGATTTCTGCTCATATAGTTGTTTTTTCCCCCTCTGTTAGCTCAAGAAGTTTTCATATAAACTTTTTTTTAGTAAATTGTGACATGAATAATCATGTATATACTAAATATGGCCATATTAATTTTATCTATTATTATATATGTATAGTATTTTTTTGTGTTTATCATTATAACAGAGCTCTCGCTTCACTGGGAACCATGCATTTCTTCATATGTTGCCTTTTTTAAGCCTATAGTGTTACTGTTATCATTTTCATGTGACATTTAAACATCACTTATGTCCAAACAAATAACATTACACTTGTGATTGCTGTAACAAAAACATTGCTGCAGGTAATAATTATTTTCATTATTGTTTAATCTGCATCTGCATATCCCCCTCAAGAAGAATTGTAATAACTAATAACTGACTTTTTATTTGCCAGTAGTTTGGTTAATGACCAAATACCTGCAAAACTAATGACATCCCCAACAGCCTCAACTGGACTTTGTGTTAAATGCTAATTTGCAGGTTAGTTTGTTTTCATCACTTATCAAAATAGTTGCTGATTAATTTTTTCTATCATGACCAAGTGACTGTGTAGAACATGCGACACTGTAAAACAGCCTTCGAATGTTCATCACTGTCTATTTGGATGCAAAAATCTATTACAGAAACAACCACTTCTGTTTTTCTTTATAATATTCCAACTATTTTTTGCCCATTCACTCCTCATAAATACTAAATAGTAAAGCCTGAGCAGGCAACAGTGATTACTTTTTAAGTTTAAAAAAAAAAAAACTAAGAAAAACAAGAACCTCAGAATATAATGAGGGATATTTGGCTTTGATTTTGTTGAAATCATCTGAGGCTTTCCTTGTCATTACAGTCAATCATGCATTGTATTTCTTTGGCTCAGGGCCTCTCCCCTCAGCATTTTGCTCTTCCTGCTGTCTCCGCTCCACTGACGGCAACAGCAGGCGCTTTCCATCCCTGCAGCTTACACACTATCACAGTACGGAGAACTACATTAATACTTCCCTGTTTTTTTTTGCTCTCATCTGGTAAATTGCAAAACACAGTCTCTCCTCAATGGCTAAGCTCTCTGGATATCACTCACTGTTTGACACTCATTCTCTCCCACACAAACAAAATCTCTATAATCTCCACTGCTGCTCTTCACTCTGCTCAAAACAACACCAAAAACATGTTACATGCATTGTGTCTTTATTATGAATCTGCTGCAGAAGTATAATAGTCCAAGTGCCAGCTCATCTTTGTAATTTTCAACTTCTATCATCATACATTAATAAAAATCCACAACATGCCAATAACCACAAAGATTATAGAAGCCTGGTGGTAATACAATGACTGTCAGGAGGCTAGCTGACAGTGTCTGTGCCTACGTTAGATCATAACTACTTAATGCTAACTCTTATCCACTAGAGAATTTTCACAATATTGAGATTCATATCTGCAGAATACATCAAATGTTGATTACAATTAAATGTACATATTAAGTACTAACAGGAAAAAAAGCCATATTAATCACTACAGAAAATTATCTGCAGGTTTGAACTCATGAGACTCTGACATCGTGGCGTTTCTGTACATAGTAAGGAGAGTTTTATCTGTTCTTAATGAAACCTGGTTGTGTTTTAGATCACAGTGAGAATCACAGGTAGATAAAGATCAGAGGTTAGGTAAGGATATACAGAAGATATAATAATAATAATAATAATAATAAAATAACTTATCTGTTGTACTGCTATCACACTGCTACTCATATCTCACACCCATAAAATGTCTGATCCGGTGTATTACAAATAATCCATCAAAAGATAATCCTACTGTGTTTGACAACAGTATATATTAAGGTGTTCATTGCAGACAAATCCAAGTAAAAATCAACTGTTTTAGGGGTTTTTCAAGGGACAAAAAAAAAAAAAAAGCCACCATCTGTCTGGTTTGAAATTACAGGCGACCTGTGGATGCAGACTGAGGCTAGAGCCACAAGTCTGACTGCAATCATGAGCTATTTACTTTGTTAACCAAATCGTGTTGCCTCATATGCATACAATACTACCACCATCTGTCAACTGCGGCACAGCACTTGAAGAGCATCACATTACAAATCTTCGTCTGTTTCAAAATGATCTTTTACAAACATTATCAAAAGATAGGATATAGGATGGCATATAATTAGCTTCCCTGTAAAATTAATATTTTAAGTATCTTGCTACAGTGGGGGGTTTTTTGTGAACATGTACCCTCTTTCCCTGCTCACAGTGCTCAGTGGTGTTTAGTGGATATACAGTAAAGTCGCAGCAGAGTAAAAACACTTTTGATGTTCCTCTCTATGACAACAATTCTGTGATGAGAGTTGGGTCTTTACAAAGCAAGAAACTTTCCCTATAAATTCTTTTTTTGGCACATATTTTTCCTTGCAGTGATGACTGTGCCGTCTGTGCGAGACTTTTCATAATCCCCTCCATTTTAGCACCCATAGCTAGTCCTTGGTAAGCCTCTTTTTCATCCTCTTTTGCCACCCATACGCTCACATCTCAAACACAAGATGTATGGCAGGAGTCATGAGAACCACAGAGGAGAGTCTGAAACAAGAGGACATACTGTGATTGAAAGTGTTTCTTCTCTGTGGGGTAAATGGATGAATTTCTGCTCTGTGATTCCAATGCAGCGCAAAAAAAATCCCAGAGCCTCTCCACGTATCCAAGGGGATTTAACGGCAAACTGAAACTCTGATGCGTCCTGTCGTCAGTGCAGTGAAGGATGGACTTGGCGGACATTTTGTTGGGACTTGCATGTGGCGCTGAAGCTGGGAGGCAATCCTTCCTGTTCCACGCTCTGTAACCACCTCCACTGGTCTCTTTTCCAGTCCACCTTGTTTGAGTCAGTTCTGAGGGTGGTGATGGGAGTCTTGAAGAGTTTGTGTCTATCTCAAGAATCGTTCTGAATTTGTTGACCAGAATATGAAGGGAGTGATTAGTCTGACTGACTCCCTTCTCCATCTAACATCATACGGACACCCCCCCCCCCCCCCCCCTTCCCCCAACCCTGACTCAGAGCAGCAGTATTTGCATATGTTATTTTCTTCCATTAGCAAAAGGGATTTATATAGATTACAGAAATATAAGTAAGCACTGTATATCGGGTGCATATTTGTCACACATCCAGGTAATGACTAGGCGGTAAAGACGGTGGTGCAGGTGCGGGCCAGACGGTCAGTTGCCTTATCCAGTTTCATCCTGGGATGAAACTCAGGTTTTCACATTTACTAAAAAAAGAAAAGGAAGTGCATTAGTTGAAAACTATATATTCTGCAACTGCATATGGATGTATACACTTTCACAGACCACAAGAGGACAGTTATATAAAGAGAAAAACAAGGGCTGTTGAGTCCCAGAGACCTTAAACTCAAGTTGTGCGTAAACTTGCTCTTGCAGTCATTAAGTTAATTAGGACATCTCTTGGCTTAATGAGACCCAACAGGCTGCAACTGTGTGCACTCGAGAACACGAGTACAGATAAGTATCTGAAGTGAAAAGGCAAGGAATCACTTAACTGACTGACCCTTCACGAATATATTTAAATATACAATACTGCAAAAGACTAGTCGCTTTCTTTACGAGTTACTAATAAGTAATAATCACTGATCTGTTACCAGAATCCCTTTATTTGCCAGGTACAATAAATGAACATTTATTTGTCTTGTGAGCAAGTCAACAACTCACACACTGACATACATTATATACGTATACATACGGTACAGGGACAACAAGACTTCACATTTTGTACAAGCAAACGGGGCAAGGCGAACAACAGACAACAGACTACACATATCACTCTACAGATACACACACAGCAGTCTGAGGCATGCAGTCGGTTACAGCTGGAGGCCACCCGTGCAAATATGGAGAAATATGTAATAAAATGTAGATTTGAGTCTCTGATGCAAATATGAATAATATGTTCTGATGTTTGTGTAACGTTGACATAGTTCTTAAAGGCTAAAGTGCCGCAGTGTATAAAGACTTTCCAACTAGTGCAATATTGTGCAAACATGGATGGTAACAATGTCAGTGATTACAGTCAGATTGTGCTAACAGAGCTAAATATTGTATTGTGATGGGATCAACAGTGACAGCAGCAGGTTTTTAGGCCAGGAGGATCAGTGGTAGCAGGGCTATTGCTACGAACCCTTAACCATCAATTCAATATTCACAGGCAAAGAAAAGAGGAGTTCAGGGGGAAGAATCCGCTGTGCACAACTACACAGAGGGTAAAAAGGTGAGGTTAAGGTTTAAAGGTCAGATTTGGGACACTCACTGGCCAGGTTGACAATGCAGGCGATGATAATGACCGTCCCTCCTACTAGTGATACCATGGAGAGCATCTTGGCCACACGTCCCAGACGCACAGCACCATCCAGGTTTCCCTGTTCAAGACTGTTCTTGGACTGAAGGAGAAGAATGAAACCATCTGTTAATTTGGGTTTAATACAGACGCATATTTTAAAAACCATAATCTCAGCAAAGTTGCTTCAGAACAACAAAACTGTTGTCAATGAAAATAAAAGAAACATAAGGAATAATAAGCCAAAACTACAAAACAGACAAATGATCCTGTTCTTACCATGATGGAGTAGACAAATCCCACAATGTTTATGGGCCAGACGGGGCAGAAGCAGGCCAGCACGGACAAGAGGAGGTAGTCTTTAACCTTGGTCCGGTCCAAGGGTGGGTTGGTGGCGATGCTGGAATGGCGAGAAAGCGATGGCCTGGGCGAAAAAGCAGTGTAGCCTATGGAGCTAGCCCGGCTCCCCTTCCTGGTCTTGCCGTGATGAGGGTAAGAGATGGAGTGTTGTCTTCGTGGAGGAGAGGAGATGACTGGAGAGGTGCTCTCTGCAGGCGCCGAGTGTATCCCGTTACCTACACATGAGGGACGAGAAGGACGGGCAGATGTTTGAAACACTGGAAGAGGTAGATGTGAGTGTACTGTACCAGAAGCTCACTGGAGTGCACTGGAATTTGACTTTCCCTGCGTGAGCTGACTAAGCAGCTGTATGACCCACCCGCTGCCTTGATATCAGGTCAAACACAGTCACTTACTGTTCTTCAGTTTCTCGTTGATGACTATGACTAGCTCTCCTTTGGATTTGCTGCGGGGGGGCCGTGTGCTGGCCGGGCTGCCGCAGCTATGGATGAGATGTTCACCTATTACCGGTGGGCATGGCACAGAGACGGAGGCTTGGCTCGCCAGAGAGTCTTCCTGGTCCAGCAGCGATGGTTGTTCCTCTCCTGGCCAAATGGCAGGAGCTGGCATCATGTTCACAGCCATGCTGACCGCAAAATGAAGCCTGTTTGTGGTCCAGTCCTGTGTGTGCTGCCTGTTTGTGACACCTGGGGACAAGAAAATGGTTTTAACCATATAAATAAACAGAGCTTGCTCTGTCTCATCTGCTTAGGAACTGTAAAGAAAAAAATCCTGGGGTGGAGAGGGGAACCAGAAAGGGAGACTGGTGCATCTTATCTTTCTCTGAAGAGGGATTCTGTAAAAGTTTTTGGAGAGCAGGGGAAGGTATGTTACCCTTTTTTCATCCCAGATTTACATGATCCTTTCTTCCTAACAAAAACAATGATAAAGCTCAAATACTTAAATCAGAGATGGATTTTACATCCACCACAGGTCATAAAATTGCAACTTGCCGTTAGAAGACAACAATTTCGCCTGCGTTTTAGGTCTATTTATTACTTATTTCCCTCATCAAAATAAACTAGGAACTAATAAGATCAATGGATCTTTGGTGGAAATTAGTAATGGAACATCATATATCTAGAACACACATCCAGAGAGCATGTATTTTTCACTAGCCTTCAGCAGCTTCTACCTGAAGCTTATTCTGCATCTCAGCATAAAGTAAACATAACTATGTCTAAAATTTTTTAAAATGTTATATAAAGTGGCGATCGCAGCTCTTAAAATGAGTTGTACCAATTCAGTAGTGTCATATTATTTAAAGATATTTATTTATTTGGATCCCCACTGGCTGTTACTTATGTAACAGCTTCTCTTCCCGGGGGCCATAGGAAAAAAGCTACATCATCATCAACAAAAAGCAATTTATATAAATTAGAAGAAAACTTTAAATAAAACACATAAATATAAATACATGCGCTTACATTTGAAACATTCATTGGGGAGAGGGTGTTGCATTTTGTCTGCATCAAGGAAAATATCAGTAATTCTTTGAAGGGTCTTGGTCAACAATAACTTTCAGCCCCACTCTCTGCACAAAGATTATCGTACAGTCCCTAAATACACTGCTTTAACAGATTTAGTTTGGACCCTGGCTCAATATCACATAAGCCTCTTAATAATCCACTTTGACATCAGATGACAGATCGTCATTTTTGATCACTTCGTGTGCCACGGTGAACTAAACGGGCTGAAGGTAAACAGATAATATACACTATGGTTCACTTTGAATGGGGCCTCATATTTCATTAGCAGACTCTCTATCTCAGGGAACAAAAAAGCAGGTCACAATGACACGAGGAGTACAAAGGCATGGCAGATGGAGGCAGGTTCCTTTGAAACGATAGTAGCAGCCATAGTCTCCGTGCAGGTGTGTACATACCATTCTTTCATCATGTGTACACAGGCCCTAACTGGCGAACGGGGTCCGGTTGTTGGCCACAGAACAATAAGGTGTAGGACAAAGCAATGAAATGATGGGGACAAAGGAAAAACAGTCGGATTGAAGGGGGGGGGGTCTGCTCATCAATTAGCCTGCTGCTATTGATCTGAATTCAGTGGATGTGGGCTGCTGAATTGCAATAAGCAGGAAAAAAAAAAAAAACACATGCCGCTTGTGCTGGATTCTTGCATTTAAAGGGAACCACGAATTGATCAAAGTGCAAATAGATAGTTGCCATTTTTGGATTTCTATTTAAAGAAATACAGGGGCAAAAAGGTGGAAGATAAATCAAACTGACCTTTTTTTTAATCCAGCGCCAATCTCAACAGTCAGGGCGTCCCTGGCTTTGGCATCGTGGTAACGTTAATCCCAGGTGAAAAATAACAGCATCAGTCGCGACCGAACATCTCCTCTACATCCACAGCGTATTTGCGAACATGCACCGTTTGTCCAAAAAATCTGAGTTTTTTTTTTGTTGTTGTTATATGCGAAAGCTGGAGTGCGGCAGAGCTGGTGTAGCGTCTTAGTCCAGCGCAGTGTGCTGGGATGGATGGGGAGTCTCCTGGATGGCAGGGTGGATCAGAGAGGAGGGGTGTGTGAAATGAAAAGTGAAATCAACCAGACTACGTGCTGTGGGAGAAGGAGGGGGGGAGTGGAGGGAAGGCTGGAGGACGGCATCCTCTGCTCACCCCAGAACACTGAATATTTATCCACTGATGCAGCATCACGGAGTCGGTGGAAAAAAGGATGTCCTCCTGTCTCCGCCTTGCAGAGGACAGGAATTCAAAAATGAGCCCAATTAGGTTTTCAAACCGGAAGCAGACGATAAAATACTCCCAGGGATGTTGATTTATGGCTGGAGACAGTTCAGGGTAGAGGACATTTGGCCCACATGTGAAGGTGACGATCAGATTTGTTTATCATCATAAAGTAAAACACTAAAACATTTAATGATATGAGAGACGTTTATTAAAAGCATTAGTGCGCCATCAGCTGGAACACGGTTGTAACTACAAAAACATCATGAAACACGCATAAATGACAAATAAAAGATTCTGAGATAAAAAAAATTATGTACACTCAAATTAAAAAAAATTTAAAAATCACTTTCCCATGGCGCTCAGGATGTTTGCCTGAAAAAAGAAGAAATTAACATTAGCACAGAGTAAAAGCAACATTATCCCTAAAACAGCACAATGTGCCATCCTCAAGTTATTAGTAGTAGTTAAGAGCCAGAGTTAGCAGACATGTTAGCATCTTTGTGAGACTGTACCGAGGCACAGTGAAGCTGTTAGCTAAATGCTAACATGTTGTCAGAGGCTGGTTTAGTCTGATTGATGGCTGCTGTGTCCTGTGAATCTTTAACCGTACAAGTTCTTTAAAAGGCAACGCAATAAAAACAGGCAAGTTGTATAATTGTGCAATTACAATTATTGTGCTATGGTATGATATTGTTTTAATATATGGATAATATTTCTTGATGGTAATGATACATGACAATCATAAATGCAAGTATATGTTCAGTCATGAGCATGAATCATGAGGTTTTCAGATAACGGGGAGGGGAACTTTGAGAGTCGGTTTCTCACTTAAAGTGATTCATGGGTTGAATAAAATTCCTTATTAATGTTGCATCATGTCATCAGATTGCCGTAAAGGATGAGAATCTCAATCATCATGTACGCAGCATCACTTGTGGTGTAATCAGTCACCTGCATTAATTGTACAACAATGTGTAAATGTGAACAATGGAAACACTGCAGAACAGGGAAACCATAAACAGGCACACAGCTGCGTTTTAAACCTGTGCAACCTCCGCAGTTATGTTCAGTGTTCAACATTTTTTGGATGTTAGCATGCTACTTAGAACCAAATAGTGAAGCCACAGCTTATGAGTGTATAATAACATGCAGGTAATTGGTCATAAACAAAATATTTTTTACCTAATGGTGGTACTAGATGAAAAGTCAGGCCATCACTAAAGATATTACAATTCATTCTGTGGGGGACATGGATGGCTGCACTAAAGTGGTTGAGATATTTTAGTCAAGACCAAAGTGGTGGAACAATTAACCAACCAACATGGCTAAAAGATAAATTCAGGACTCTGCTTACCTTCATGAAGGAGGAAAATCTCTTTTCTGTCATACCCTCAACTTTTCCCAGATCTTCCAACTGCAAAACAACAAATCATACATGAAGTCAAAACAAGTAAATTAAAATCTACAGCTATCCATCACCAGTCAAAGAAACACAACAGGGGTACGGTTATGGGGTGAGTTTCATGATAAAACAAGAGCAACATTTTCTCTATCAACCTTTGTAAAGTGACCGTGGATCTCCCTCCAGCCCAGGATGAGCTTTGCCTTCTTGTCGCCGATCTGCTGAAGACCTTTCAGCTCTTTGAGTGAGCCAGAGTTGAGAACCTGCAGGATTTTCTTCCTGGACTGCTCCAGCACAGATGTCTCAAGTTGGGACTCCCAGTCATTCTCCATCCTGTTCTCTTTGCCATCTGGAGGCTGAGAGAGAAACACATACAGATAAAGTCGTAAAAAAAAGAAAAAAAGAAGTGAATTTTCAACTGGGATTTTACACAATAACAGAAAATATACAGCACATGAAAATCTATTTTTAACTGTCAACATTTATTTGTTCATATTGGCCTGGAAAGGCGGTTAATTTTGCAGCGTCTGTCGAGTCAAGAAGCAAAATGAAGGTAATGCACTGTGTCAGCTTGTATCTGATTGCTTGCAATTCTGCAGATGAGTCAAGCTAAGCACAGCACAGTCAAGGCTCGGATGCTGACCTCAACCTGGTCGGAAAGCTTCTTCTCTTTCTTCTTGAGGCAGACTGACTGTTTTTTGCCGACTGCAAGCTGCTGAAGAGGTTGAAGCTGGGTCACTGAAAGGGAGGAAACCACATAAACAAGTCAATATTAAATTAAAATGATGATGCACAATAAAACACAATGTGGAAACAAAACATCTATGTAATTTAATGAAACAAAACATCTATCTAATTTAATAAAATTCGGGTTCATTTCCATCAATGTATACATTGCCATACTTTCTAACCTTGTAGGGGTTGGACCACAGCCTGCTGCTTTTTGGGTTTTGCAGCATTTGTATGTTTTCTTTGCAGAGGAGCCGTGTTGTTCTTGAAGACAGGTTCGTGTTTGGTACTGGACTTTTCTTCAGCCAACCGACTGAATAGAAGGGCCTTGCTCTCAAACTCCCTCTGCTTCTCTTTGAGCTCCTGTGGAAATAAAAAAAAAAAAAAAGAAAAAAAGAAAAAAAAGAGTGGCATGGTTGGCTATGAAATATCAAGTTGAGTTGATCAATCAGTACAAAGATCTGACTATATATCAGTATTTGGTAAATCACATACAAATTATAACAGACAAAGGCTGAACCAGGTGTAGGTATAAATGATCAGACCCTGTATTATGCAGGGGCACACGGTTTCACCCTTATTGGGAAAACTGAGTTTTAATGTAGATGTGTTTCCACCTGGATCTCCTTGCGAGACTGGGCCACATCTTTCAGCATGCTGGTTTTATCTTTGTCCTGGCAGCTCATCATCAGCTTCTCCAGAGCTATTAGTCTGTCCATCACTGATGGCTCTGACAGGCTGAAAGAGACACACAACAAATCAAGCAAAGGTAGGTGGACAGCGAGGGAGAGAGTGGTCAGGGGGCTTCGAAATACACCCAGAAGTCAAAAGGTCAGCCAGGCTGAACAAATACATGTTGACGAGTATCCTAGCCCGGACAGAATTGTACGCCTGGTAACATATGGCAAGAAAGCAGTGCTCGTCTGTCTCCCAGAGAGACTCCAGTGGGCACAGCAGCTGTAGCCATTGGGAGCACTGCAGAGAGACTTGATTTCAGCACAAGCTATAAAATCTGGGTTCATTCTACGGCTTGCTTGAATTGCCGTTATATGGACAAAGCAGAGGAAAGTGAACTTGATGTTTTAGCTTTGGGCAGATGGAAATGCATTTTCTTCACAGTCAAACATCACAGTACCCAAGTCTGATTAGCCAGACAAATAATCAATAAGTCTGTCTGTGCATGTGGTCTTTAACCTGTGAAAATGTGCAGAAGGTGATGAACCATCCTGTTCTGTTTTCTTCTCCTCTTTCTGCCTTTTCTTATGTGGCTGAGTGCCAGACCCCCTCGCCTCGTCGTCCTCTCTGGCCCGCTTCACTGGAGATGAAGGCAGAGGGGAAATTAACAGTTTAGTATTCAGTGCACTCAAGCAACAGTGTTTGTGGGGTTCTCTTGAGTGTAAAGCATTTCAGATGATGATGGCACAGAATCAGTCAGGTCTGCATTGCAGTACTTCAATTAAAGCCATGGGAAGAGCAGCAAACTCTAACTGTCAGAAATGTATTTTAAGAAAATGCTATAGGAAAGAAAATGTAACAAAACTGCAGATATCAGAGGTGCAAAAATTTTAAAATAACATCCATCTTGCCGAGAGACTGAGCTGGCTGTTTACTCTTAGTCATCATCCTCTGGGATGTGAGATAGGTGTCCCTGTAGGCTTTTGGATGAAATTCAGTTAGAGCTTCCTTTTCTCTTTAAACTTACAAGTCCTCTGAATGAAAAAAGTTGCTTTCCTCACTCACCTGGCAGCACAGGCATAGCCACAGTTTCTCGGGTGAAGGGCTTGTTCACAATGAGCTTGGATTTGGCGGCAAAGTTGAGGGCACTAAACGTATCAAAGTAGTATTTGTACTCCGGTGCAATATTGGTGATCATGACAGAGTGTGCAGAGCCACCCAGAGAGTCCTGTAGCAGCCTTGTTAGTTTACTGTCTCTGTATGGCACACGGACAGCAGTGCCCGAGTTAAGAGAATCCACCACTTTGCTCAGAGTGAAGAGGGACAGGTTGATGGCACCACTCTCCTTCAGGCGGATGCCCTGGTTGCCGGTGCGGCGGTTGTCCTCAGACCCAGCCAGGTCTACCAAGTACAGCTTGCCTGTCTGTTGTCGGTGGGGTAAGGCACACTGAGTGCGTACAACCTAAATCATCAAGAAGATTAAGATTTTAGGAAAGGCAATAACATAAAGGTCAGACATGACACAGACACAGAGGAGGGAGGTGCAGATAGAAATACAAGGTTAGATGAGGTAAAGCAGTGTTTCTCACATAATTAGATTCTATTTTTGGTGGTAGCAGACCGGGAGGGGGTGTGGGGGCCTTTTTTAAATGAACTATTAAATAATACTGTACATAAGGCGCTCCAACGCAAATATTTTAAATGCCAAGTACTTTGTGACAAATATGAAACAGAACAATATACAGTATACAGGTCTATCTATGTGTTTGCTGTCGATTTCACCCGTTGCCTCTGTCCTGGCTGGCTCTCCCACAGCAGCACGTTGGCTGCTGTCCTCCTCCTACATCCCTCTCTTCATTAGCTACACCTGTCCCCTCCTGACCCTCTGTTGCTGCTTCAGCTGCCACAGCAGCACTGGTTGAAACCTGTAAATATTCGAAACTAGAACACCACTCAGTGGAGCACATACCTCTGTCAAGGCCAAAAACATGACCTCCTTGGTGGAGGTAACAAATTAATTGGATAGCTTATTACACTGGTCAGAGTGTCCACTTTCCCAGGTGTTTTCTTAAGGTTGTAGGTAATACATATAGCCTCAGAGTTAAATAATTAACATAAACGCAACCATTTGCACATGCAGTCAATATTGACTAGCAACTATGTATAACCATCTTCTCTGCAGGGATGAACCAACTATGATCCTTCCTTTCTCATGTGCATGATCATGTTTTGCATGTGCACAGAAAGAGGGAGCTATTCACAGACAGGTCCATAATCTGTGTGTGGGGTGGGGGGTTTGAGTGAATCGATAAAATTTTACTCATTTGCAATGAAGAAAATCAGTATGTGGCGGTCAATGCTAACATTGTGGTGTGATGTCACAAATAAATCAATGTACGGGAAACACTGTTTTGTGATAAATCTGACACATTAGACATTCGGTACTACAACAAGTAATGAAGGAAGTCCGTAAGAATGCAGAAACAGGACTAGGTTAGTAAAAGGAAAGCAGACACCAGTTTGTACCTCTCTCTAGTAGTCCCAGAAAGCTCAGCATTTGCTAGTGGGATTGTTGCAAGAGAGAATTGATTTAAGCACCAGCTACCAAATCCTGGCCTACTGCTCAGAGGCCACGACCTGTTTAAGATGCTATTTGATTGTCTGCTGTAGACCAATGCAAAGACCAGCTCAATAAACAAAACAGCGCAACTCTCAAAACAGAATTATAACAAACTGTCTTCTCAGTGTTGATCAGAGCAAATATCAAACCTTGATGAGGAGAATAGCATGGCTGCGACTGGAGCGCTGGTTTAGTTTGGTAGAAGCTGTAGTACGATTGAGGCTGGCCGGGACAAATTGTTTGTCAAAATCGTTGAAGGAGGTAATTGTTGTGTGCGTAAGGCCAGGGATAAAGATGTTCTTGTCCTTGTCCTCTCTGATTGGTAGATCTTGGGAGCTCGGTGATAGAAGATCTAGCACCTAAGGTGATTAAAGGTGATTGCATCAGTCAAAGTTTGTCAAAAATAACAATGTATTACAACAATAACAATTCTACTATCATATAAATAGATATACAACAAACAAAGCGGGCGGAAAAAAAGGCAGAAAACCAATCATCAGGTACAGAGATGCATGAACACTGGAGTTGAAGAACTCTGCATGCTAAGGTGTTTTTTAATGACTGTATTAGTGGTTTGCCACTTGAAAAGGGAGGGGTTGAGTGGAGACAGTTTTTTCTTAAACAATTTACATAACAATGTGTTTGGTTTTCAATAACAAAAAAGAAAGGTCATTTATCAGATCTTATTTTTAATCTCATAGCAAATGATTCTGAACTACTGGCAATGAAACACATTATACAGGGTTTGAGCCAGCCATTCATACCTTCTCATTGTAAATTTCCAAATAAGACATGCCAATGCTGTAGTCCCATCCCTCATCCTCATCCTCTGCTTTAACCAGCTTGAAAACCTCGCCAACGGCTCGGGGAATCACACCTGGCTGCTCTGAACTGCCCAACATGGTGTGGGTCTTACCTGTGGAAGAGTTGGCAGAAAAAATACAATTTATATACCAACAAGTGAACTTTAAGTGCTAGCTGTCTCTACAATAACATAAGAGGCCACACACTGAGCAAAATATTTTAACGGGTGAATTGATAATATTAAATCGAAAAAGGCCCCTGATGATATGACTTACATTTATACAATTAAGAGAAATGTTAACAAAAGCAATAAATGCAGTAAGGCTTTGACATACCTGCTCCTGTAGGCCCATAGGCGAACACGCTGGCATTTTGTCCATTCAGTATGTGTGGTAGAATAGGCTTCACTGATGAGAGGAAAACCTCTTGCTGTGTCGTTTGCTCACCATGAAAAGCGTCAAAACTGAAACAACATGCAGAGCAACCTTACAATTTACTGTTGGGCAATAATTACAAATATTCATAGAATTATTTAGAAATGACAGTTGATTTAAGATTAGGACACCGACTGGTATTTGACTGTTTCTGTTGCGTTCCTCCAGTTGATTATTTCCAGGTTCTGGGAGTCCAGGCCTCTCACACACGGTCCCTCGCCTTTTCCATCTTGCTTGTCCATATACGGTCGCAGACGAACCGCTACCCGAACCCTGGAGGACTTCTTGTTTCCCCCATCTGATACTGCCACACGCTGAGCCATGGTTGAACTCTTACAAAGAAAGGGCCTGGATAATAACAAGCCAAGTTAGCCACTTATAACTTACGTTGGCATTTACTTGTGTAAAAAGTAGTAGTTAAAAAAAATACAGATTCTCAAACTTGTCAGAATTTGTATTAATCGACGATTTGCTTTAAGTAATTTAATGCGCTAAAAGTTACTTTATTAACGATGGTTTCAATCGGCTAATAACATGCTAACTTGGCTAGCATCAAGTTACGTTAACTTTAGTCTTGCTCTCAAACGACCGTTAGCCTAGCTATAGGCAATTGCTGCTTCGCCGAATTGATCACAAGTGTTCAGTTAATGCTTACCGATATTATCTGAAGACTCTTATTTCAAAATCTTTGTTATACTCAAAGTTCCACTTTTGGCAACATTGTGGACGCCGTCTTTTAACAATGACGATCGACCCCCCCTAACATCTAACGGAACATTTTCAAATGTGTGCAGTGCAACCGGAAACGACCAGGAACCAATCAGAAGTCGCGAAAACACTGGCGCCTATTTGACGTCTTGCGTCCTTATTTACAGGATTTACTCGGTCATCAAATATTGTCGTCAACACAATGCTATATGAACATGTATGTTCACCTTTCAAAATAACTTATTGACGAGAAGCAGTGAAGCAAAATACGTTTATTACAATTTCGCTCGACATGAATTAAGGGCTGTTTGCGATTGCGCACTGGGCAGGAAGTCGTGTCACCGCAGATCTCTAAAACAAAGGCGTTAACTAGTGTTGGTTACTCACTCGATAGACGGACCATCCACACGACGTTTAATCAGCGGAAATACGCAGTCTCGCAGAACTGAGCAGATCGTCACACAGTTCTTGGAGTCCAAAATGGCGCTATGTTTACGTCTATGCATAATCGCTTTTTATCCCTAGCAAGTCTCATGGAGAGCTTTGGTGACTTTATTCCCTCGAAAAGATAATTTGAACTAACATTTAACTACAACAACACTGTTTCACGACAAACAGGTAATGACAATTTAAGACGCATATGTTAGCTAATTGCAATTGCTGTTTAGAAATAGGTGGCGGTCAGGCCTGATGTTAGCAAGCTGGTTAAGTCAAATAGTGATAAAATAACGTTTCAAATGTGGCTATATTGACTGTTTTGTATTCAGAAAAGTTAACAGCTATCGTTGGGATACCCGTTAAACGTTATACTCCTGACTCTTGACTAGCTCTCTCAAAGACCTCTTAACCTCACATACCTATACTTTCTCTGAGGTGAACTAAAACGTGTTTTTCCATAAAACAGATCTGTGAATACAAAGTTCACCAGCAGCAGTAGGAAGGATGCAGACTGAGACCACGGACTCTTCACTGAGAGAGGGCATAGAGGCTCTGGGTGTGAAGGACACAGAAAAACCTGCAGCAGGAAAAGAGAAGGAGGAGGAGGGCGACACAGAGCAACAGGACACTGAGACGACAACTGCTACAGAGGAGGAGGACACTACAACCAAGGATGAAAACGGTAACTTCATTAAGAAACATAAGAGTGAGAGAAAGAGGGAAATGTAGTTTAGAGTTTTAGAGTAGAGTAGTTTAGAGTAGAGTTTTAATAACTTGTGACTTTTTTGTATTCTTTCACCAATAGCTTTGAATATGAATTTTCTTTTATGCTGTTTTACCCAGTCCTCGATATGTAACATATGTAGTACTATATATACAGTATCACATCATAATTTGTCTAAAAGTAAGGTATAGCTAATGTAATACTGAAGTGCTATGATTCTGTCAAATGCATAATAAAATAAGGTCATACTGTTATTCCTACCACTGAGTTTCCTTTTTTTTTCCTTTTGCTGCTTTGTCAGATGGAGACACAGATGCAGGGGAAGGAGAGGCACACAAGGATGAAGCCCAGGCAGACACAGGGGTGGATGCTGAAGAGGGAAAGCAGGCTGCAGAAGTGGATGGTGAATGGGAGCTTGCATACAGCGACGAAGAAATGGAGGATCCTAAGAACTGGATGCCCCCTCCTACTGAGATCAAAAGACTCTATGAGCTCCTTGCTAAAGGAGAGATGCTGGAACTGAACTTTGTGCCCCTTCCTAGAAGGCCCCCTACACCTGAACGTACCCCGTCACCTGAAAGAGATGACGAGGAAGAAGCAGCGAAGGAAAGGGAGAGGGAGGAAAGAGAGCGCAAGTCAGTATTACTGTTCTTCTCAATCATTCCATCAGATTTTGGTTTGTGTACTGGTTTTGGATGAGACGGTTAATGGCTTCCTTTTTTTTTTTCCAGGCCTCCAACTCCAACTGAGTTTGACTTTGATGAGGAGCAAATGCAAGCCACTCCAAAAAATTCCTTCATCAACAGACGCAGAACACCAGGTGCGATAGACAGTCGACAGACAACAAAGGTGTTTTGGGGGGGTTTTTTGTATCGAGTTTAATGTTTTTCTTTCTCTCCCAGGATCTTCAGCCCGCTCCTCTGTGAAAAGGGAAGCTCGGCTGGACAAAGTGCTGTCAGACATGAAGCGCCACCGCAAAATTGAGGAGCATATCATGCGTACAGGTCGAGATCTCTTCAAGAGCGAAAAGAAGCTGGAGGAAGCCCTGTCTCCCAACAGCCAGAAGGAGCGGGAGAAGGAGAGGGAACGAGACAGCAACCCCAACACCATCTTCTCCCCGAGACAGAGGAGATACTGAAGTATTAAGAGATGAGGACTTGCTCAAAGGCAAACAAGGACAAAAGCTTTCAGAGGCTTTCTCAAAACTTGAATTTTTTTATGTAACGAGTTTTGTATGTTTTCTATGTGTGTTTTGTATGATGGCAATAAACATTTTAATCCTGGAGTAACCCTGTTGTACTCAGTGGACAGTGAGGGTGATTGATCTAGATAAATGGCTGTAACGGCATACAATCTCAATATCAGTTGATATTGTAATATACTAAAGATTTATAAAATAAGAAATACCTGAAGGACAATCAAGTATATCATCACATTTATGCAAAATTTGTATAAGAAAACACTGATATAGAGCAGTCCTGCTCATTAATGTTCATTGCCAACAATGGCTAGGTACACAGAGATATTAAAGGGATTCCTATCACGATAAATGTTAATAGTAAAATCTCTGACACCAATTAACTGTCTCTCAGTATATATGGTCTTGTGTCCTAACCCTAAGTGTGACAAGTATGGTGCTGGGATGCTGACCTGACCTTCAACCATTTTTTCACATTAATGTGGTACTCTGCTCATTAAAAGCTCTTCCATATTGCAATAAGAAACCAGTCTACTTTTCAATGCTTAAGATGTGTTGGTAAAGATTTAAAATCATTACATAAAATTATGAATTCTAGCACCCTCTACTGGCTCGCTTTAACCCATGAATAGAGAAGTGATGTCTGAAGTCAAACTAGGAATATTTTTTAAAAAGATTTGATAAAATATTTAACACTGAAAACGTAAAGAAAAAAAGACTCAAGGCAGGCTCAGGACAGAGAAGTATATTTTAGCTAAGTTTGAGTAACAATACAGCCTTCACATAAGGCTCAGAAGCATAGAGTATAATATGTATGCATAAATATGCATTCAAAACCACAAACCAAATAAATAAATAAATAAATACTTACAAATAAATAACGAGCATTTTGTGGAATATACAGTACATCAGTTGAAATGTTTTAGTATTGTCAAGAAGCAGTACCTTATGAATTCATGGAACAGGGGAATGGATATTCTGTGTTCAACATGCCCACAGTTGTCCAGATGTTTTGGCACACGCTGCCCTGTCTTGATGGTTTCTGAGCTGTTTTTTATGATTTTTTTTTTCTTGACCCATTTCCAGGACAGTGTTGCTGCTTTAAACAAACATAAAATGATAAATCCAGCCAGTATGCTCATAGAAGGTTCATAGAACCAGTGGCTCAAATACATGGCTCAATGATCGGAGCAATTCATACAATGTTAAAAGAATTCATAGACTTAATAATGGTTAAAAAATAAATGAGCAACATCAAAATAAGTTGCCATGGACAAATGTGCTGCATGTCAATCACAAAGGAATGCTTCCCCAGAAGATCGTTTTTGTTTCCCTTCAAACTCTAGCATTTCAAGTCCCCGAACAAAGCTAAAACTACTCAAACCTCATGGATCCCTTTGTGAAATATTCCAGCCAATCAAATGGATGTTTTGAGATTTACAACAGCACCAAACTAAAAGAAAAAGAAAAAACAACACATGTAAATTCAGCTTAAAGTGACTGCTACTGTGCATCACTTCCTTGTATGCAAAAAACACTTTGTGATACCAGTAAATGGAATTAAGTCATATCTACACTGAAACGAGAACCACTGGCATAACGTTGGGGGTAGTCTGCGGACACTAAGCTGTAAAACTGTGAAATGTTTTGTTTTAATGCTGAAATGTAATTGTTCAAACATCAGATGCAGAAATGAGACAAAACCTAAGAAATGTGTGTGTGTGTGTGTGTGTGTGTGTGTGTGTGTGTGTGTGTGTGTGTGTGTGTGTGTGCGCGTGTGGGTGTGGGGG